CGTGCGAAAAGGTTACGATTGACCAAGTAAAATCGCAATTTTTCCTCAGTTTTTGACGTCCAACGTCCATTTCGTGCGTAAGGGTTGCGATTGACAACTCAAAGTCGCACTTTTTCCTCAGGTTTTGACGTCCAACGTCCATTTCGTGCGTAAGGGTTGCGATTGACAACTCAAAGTCGCAATTTTTCCTCAGTGTTTGACGTCCAACGTCCATTTCGTGCGTAAGGGTTGCGATTGACACCTCAAAGTCGTAATTTTTCTTCAGTTTTTGACGTCCAACGTCCATTTCGTGCGAAAGGGTTGCGCGCGACACCTCAAAGTCGCACTTTTTCCTCAGTTTTTGACGTCCAACGTCCATTTCGTGCGAAAGGGTTGCGCGGGACACCTCAAAGTCGCACTTTTTCCGCAGTTTTTGACGTCCAACGTCCATTTCGTGCGAAAGGGTTGCGCGCGACGGATCAAAGTCGCAACTTTTCCTCAGTTTTTGACGTCCAACGTCCATTTCGTGCGAAAGGGTTGCCGGGGACGCTTCAAAATCGCAATTTTACCTAGGTTTTGGACGTCCAACGTCCATTTCGTGCGAAGGGGTTGCGTTTCGTGGCGCTCCGGCGGCACCGCCCCCGCCTTAAGAGAGAATAGAAGAAGAGCGAGAGGAGATCTGCAGATGTGAAGGTGTGAAGATGTAGATCTGCAGATGTGAAGGTGTGAAGATGTAGATCTGCAGATGTGAGGGTGTGAAGATCTAGATCTGCAGATGTGAGGGTGTGAAGATCTAGATCTGCAGGTGTCAAGGTGTGAAGATCTAGATCTGCAGATGTGAGGGTGTGAAGATGTAGATCTGCAGGTGTGAGGGTGTGAAGATGTAGATCTTCAGGTGTGAAGGTGTGAAGATCTAGATCTGCAGATGTGAAGGTGTGAAGATCTAGATCTGCAGGTGTGAGGGTGTGAAGATCTAGATCTGCAGGTGTGAGGGTGTGAAGATCTAGATCTGCAGATGTGAGGGTGTGAAGATGTAGATCTTCAGGTGTGAAGGTGTGAAGATCTAGATCTGCAGGTGTGAAGTGTGAAGATCTAGATCAGCAGATGTGAAGGTGTGAAGATCTAGGTCTGCAGATGTGAAGGTGTGAAGATCTAGATCTGCAGATGTGAGGGTGTGAAGATCTAGATCTGCAGGTGTGAAGGTGTGAAGATCTAGATCAGCAGATGTGAAGGTGTGAAGATCTAGATCTACAGATGTGAAGGTGTGAAGATCTAGTATAACGGCTGCTTTTTTACGAAGAACCCTTCGCAGGCGCTCTCGGGAAAAACATAAGCTGGGGACATTGAGAGGTGAGGGGTGTGGGTTGATATGGCACTGATATGGTTGATAAAGATCCTTCAGTGCATATTTGTCTTGTACCAGGTAGTGCCCGGCACGCGCCGGGGCGGAAGTTTCGAAAGAGGACACGGCTATAGCAACCAGTTTGCCTGTGGAAACATGAATGAATGAGTGAATGAACGAACGAACGAATGAATGAATAAATGACTGAACGAACGAACGAATGAATGAATAAATGACTGAATGAATGAACGAACGAATGAATGAATGAAATGAATGAAGTGAATGAAGTGAAATGAAGGAATTAATGATTGAATGAATTGAAATCAAGGAATTGAAACAAAACGAATGAATTGAAATTTTGCCGATGTCATCTTCCAAAAGTGCTCCGACCGAGACAGTTTTTTTTAACATGTTCAAGTGGAAATCGAGCTCTCGCTACAGTCCTGTGCGCTTTGGTCGACCACTTCCCCCGACCGAGCCGCGAAACCGCGGAAACAGAGACCCTCCTTCGGCGACCACGGCGCCCACCTTACCCGAAAAAATGCAGGGTTTCGCGCCCGAGAGTGTTTTCAAGCCTGAATTCACGCGTTCCCGATCTCTCACACTTCCCAACTACTTGCATGATGATGCGGTTGCCATGATGATTGAGGCGATGATGTGGTTGCCATCATGGTGAGAAAGCTAGCCAGGACAATCGTTCCTAATTCGGAAGTTTCCTAACTAAACTTCCTTTGACTATGTGTATGTACATATATATAGTACAACATTGTACGATGCCTGTTTCAGATGTTCGTGGTATGCGTATGATTGCGTATGCAAGTGTTCGTCCTACAAAGTTTGAACAATGCGTTGATCTGTAGACACCTATCGTCGCCAGAGTGTAATGCGTGTCCGTGGGCCACATGCGCACATGAACCTGACAAGTGTTGCCAAGATTTCAAATGATGTTACTGATGTTACCTCTGCATTTCAAGGTATCAAACTGTGTGTCGAGGTTGCTGTATGCATAGGTAATATGACGGCCAATTTTCACAACCACACAACACTAATGACCAACAACCACCATCAAATGTTATCATATCTTTTACCATGGCACAAACGCTCAAAAGGATACTTAAATCCACCCGCGCCGAAGGTGCCAAAAGGCGTGGTAGTTTAGCAGCGAGTGATACCGACAAATCTGTCAGACTGGTGCAGATTGAGTTAGGGGGGGGCCACGTTCGCCCGGGACAGGCCGCTGTTCAGCCCAAGTGGGCTCCTGTTCGGCCCAAGTCAGGGCCAAGGACGTCCAAGTTTGACCCCAGTCGGCTTTTGGTTGCGCCATGTTGCGCCAAGTAGGCCCGCTTCTTTCCTCTCTGTCCTATTCCCTGGATGCAGGCGGTTCTCGTCGCGAAGCGACTCAAACATGAGAAGAATGTGATGATGATGTCTCATCCGGCTCTTGGCTCGCAACTCCCCCAGCCTCCACAGAACTGCCCGTCGGTGGCCGAACTCAAACTCACTTGCCATCTCCAGACACATTGCCCTGCATCGTGACCGTGAACGATCCGCTGTGTGGCTGTGTGGTGGGATTGTCCCAGCACCCCACACTGTGTGTAGTCCGGCGCCCTGTCTGCACCCCGCAGGTTCGCGGTGACTGGCAGGACAAGAAGCCCCAGAAATGTCGTGATGGCCATGGCTCTCAGCATACTAAACCACCGCCCAAAGCCTTGCGCTTATTGCGCGGCTTGAGACCAAAATCAGTGTTTCCAGTTGCAGTTGCAAATGTCACTTAATGTGGGCATTTGGGCGCGCGCATTGTTATGTCTGTTCCTATATGTTCCTTGACAAAATCGCGACAAAGAGAATCAAGCCTGCAGGTCAGAGTTGTGAAACTTCAGCACTCCACTCCTACACAAAGTATCTCTCCCTCTCTCTGCCTGTCCTACACCACCCTGTCCAGCTGGCCCTATTCTTTTCGAACGCGACAAGCCCGGGAATGGGACACCTCCTGCGCACGCTGCGGCCTGGGGATCCCCCCTCTTTGGGCCGCAGCCGTGTCGACCAGAGTCAACCGACCACGGTGACCACGGTCACGTCCACCGCCACGAGCTGGGGCTGCCCGGGGCTCACAGGAAACTGCCAGAACCGACCTGGGAAACTCGGCGGATGCTGGACCGACATGACCTACAAGTGACCTGTAAGTGACATAACAGAGTTTGGGCCGTGGCTTCAACAGACTCTGGGACAGCGAGTATCAATACCGTAGATTTCGAAGGGTAAAGTTTCTATGCATAATTAAGCACATTATGATTCCATTGTTCTCAAAGCGTGAGTCGTCCTGAATTGATGTTGGCCGATAGGTTCTTGCAACTAGGACGCCGACCATGCCCATGTTGCCCATGCTGCCTGTGTTGCCCATGTTGCCCATGTTGCCCGCATTGCCCATCGCGCCCATGCTTCCCGCTCCACCCATGCCGCCCATGCAGCACATGCCACCGTTGCCCGTGTTGCCCATGCAGCCCATGTTCATGCCACCCATCCCACACATGTTGCCCATGCCACCCATGCAGTTCATGCCGGCTCCAGCAGGTGCATTGAAACCTTGCCTTGGTACACTACACTGCACTTCGATAGATCCCAAGGTCCCAAGGTCTGAATCAAAGTCCTACAAATCATCGGACTATCGCTGAGGTCACACATGCTGAGACCCAGCAAAAATAGAGAGGCTTGAAAAATAGTGAGTGAGACATGTCAAAAGTAGAACACCTGCGCAGGCCCAGGGGGGGAAGGAGAAGGTCAAAGACGGTTAAGGTTTGTGATTTTGTTGTTTTTGGCCTTTGGGGGACCCTATATAGAAAGCCCGTTCGTAAAATCCTGCTCCAAAATGATGCCAACAGTGCTCCTGCCTTATACATGTTTCTATCATGCCCATCCTTAAACGGCAGAAAAACAAAGTTCCAAGTTCCTGGCTGCATTTGTTGCACCGGTTGCATCATCTCTCGGCCTTTCCAGCAAAACATCTAGAGAATACAGTACTAGGTTTGAAACAGCGCAAAAGGTTGCAAAAGAAGCTATCTCAGACCATTCAAGGTAACCTTATTAGCCACTTACCAACACCAGAATGATCACTTTAACTGCTGGTCCATAAATCCCTCTGTATATATAATATGCATACATATATGTCAAGAGGGAGGGAGGGAGGGAGGGAGGGAGAGAGTACGGTAAAGAAGTGCAAAAACCTATACAGGATTGATCAGGATTGTTGAAGTTTATCTTCGCTTATGGCACACATTTGCTCGTTGAGCCAGTGATGCACCCATTGGCTCCTCCCGGCTGGACACCGGAGAATCTTGACACCACGTGCAAATAGGCCTTGCCGACAATTGCTTCCAATTTTATGTCAATCAAATATGTAATTATATATATATGTCGGTATGTGTATATATGAAATAATTGGATTGCTTCTAGCTGCTTCTTTGGCATTCCTTCTCCACCAATCGTCAGCAAACATATCTTGGTCCGCCACCACACAGCAGCCAACAGCATTGCCACTGATTGTGATCTCAGCACAGGAAGGGAAGAGTCATGGAACGGGGAACATGTCTTCCTCCTATGTTTGCTAAGAAATGCAGATACGAGGTTGGTGCATGTTAATGCAGCTGTAGCAAACGTTGCACTACATGACACTTGCACGAGATCACCAAATTTGTTCGCTGTCTGCACATGTCACACTGGGACTCATCAAGCGATTAGCAAAGGCTAGCAGAACCCAAAGCTCAGCCAAAATAGCTAAAGATTTCCGCCTTTGGGTGTGTTCTGGGGACAAATTAAGACAAAGTACGACAGAGTCCAAATTCCACCATTGCATGGCCTATCAGCCCATAGATTTCATCACGAATCGATGCCTTTCTTGGTGGGAAATCGCCATCTCCCTGGGGTTTCCAACAGCTTTCTCCGCAGGATTTCCCGGCGCGTCTCGGACGTCAATGTGCGTCGCGGTGGCACCTGCGACCCGCCGACCCGCCGCTGCCATGAGATGGCCATGACCAGCCCCATTGGCCCATGCCATTCTCGAATCAGAATTCAGAATTATGAAGGGACAAATGGAAACCGGCAATTTTGGTGAGATCTTTGTTTCGACAAACTTCAGCCAGCTCCAGACCTGAAATCTCCAGAAGAGAATTGCCAACGTTTGCCACCTCGGTGCGCTTAAAAAAAAAAAATGAGCTGGTGAGTTTCCACCAATGGGGAGATCTGGCAGTTCACCAACAACTTGGAAACAGAACAGGGAGGTCCAGCAATTTATATTAACGAATCATGAGTTTCGCAGACTGCCGCGTAGATGTCAAGAATGTACTTTCAGTCAGCCACGTCAATACTTTCATATGAATAGATTGCTCCCCATATTTTTAGTCTGAATTTGTTTCCCATCCTGAAGGACTCTACTCACCACTGCCGGTGTTTCTTTACCCTGGAAAGCACGACAACGCACGACAATTTTAAAAAAAAACAGTACAATCGTGACATCCTCATCCAAACACATCCAACATGATTGAGGCTTCCAGGTTCCAACATCGTTCCATCTTCGGTGAGTAACCTCCCGTTAGCGTGCGATCATGGTTTGGAGTCCTGGGAGATCCTCATCCCGGAGGCAAGTCCGGTGATCCTCATCCTGCTACATTTCTCTCTAAAGCAATGAGCACCGTGACACACCGCGACCATCAATGACCTACAATCAGCCAAGTCCTAGATGCTGTAACTCTGGGATGTTTTGAATTTCAACCCCATCTATTGTCTGAAACCGGCGAGGTCCATATCACTGTCTAGAGGAGGCATGGCGAATCTCACAGCATCCCAACCCTAGCTGAGCTCCGGGCCAAATTGGCGGGGCAAAGGTACTGCACCACTTGCGATTGGTCCTTGGGTTCTTGCCTAGCTGGTCTTAGTAATGATGGTAGTGATGGTGATGCTGATGGGGATGGGGATTATGATGCTGATGCCGATTCTGATGCTGGCGGTGATGCTTTTAGCAGGGATGAGGATGAGGAATATGATGAGGATGATGATGAGAATGAGGATGAGGATGATGATGAGGATGAAGATGATGAGGATGAGGATGATGAGGATGCTGATGGTGATGCTGATGATGATGCTGATGATCATGATGATGATGATGATGATGATGATGTTGATGATGATGATGCTAGAGATGCTGGAGATGCTGGAGATGCTGGAGATGCTGGAGATGCAGAAGATGCTGGAGATGCTGGAGATGCTGGAGATGCTGGAGATGCTGGAGATGCTGGAGATGCTGGAGATGCTGGAGATGCTGGAGATGCTGGAGATGCTGGAGATGCTGGAGATGCTGGAGGTGCAGGAGATGCTGGAGATGCTGGAGATGCTGGAGATGCTGGAGATGCTGGAGGTGCTGGAGACGCTGGAGATGCTGGAGATGCTGGAGCTGCTGGAGCTGCTGGAGCTGCTGGAGCTGCTGGAGCTGCTGGAGATGCAGGAGATGCTGGAGATGCAGGAGATGCAGGAGATGCTGGAGCTGCTGGGGATGCTGGAGATGCTGGAGATGCTGGAGATGCTGGGGAGATGCTGGAGCTGCTGGAGCTGCTGGAGCTGCTGGAGCTGCTGGAGCTGCTGGAGCTGCTGGAGCTGCTGGAGCTGCTGGAGATGCTGGAGATGCAGGAGATGCAGGGGATGCAGGAGATGCAGGAGATGCAGGAGATGCTGGAGATGCAGGAGATGCTGGAGATGCAGGAGATGCAGGAGATGCTGGAGATGCTGGAGATGCTGGAGATGCTGGAGATGCTGGAGATGCAGGAGATGCTGGAGATGCCGGAGATGCTGGAGATGCTGGAGATGCTGGAGATGCTGGAGATGCAGGAGATGCAGGAGATGCAGGAGATGCAGGAGATGCAGGAGATGTTGGAGATGCAGGAGATGCTGGAGATGCTGGAGATGCTGGAGATGCTGGAGCGCTGGAGATGCTGGGGATGCTGGAGATGCTGAAGATGCAGGAGATGCTGGGGATGCTGGAGATGCTGGAGATGCAGAAGATGCAGAAGATGCGGAGATGCTGGAGATGCTGGAGATGCTGGAGATGCTGGAGATGCCGGAGATGCTGGAGATGCTGGAGAAGAGGAGAGATGCTGGAGATGATGGAGATGCTGGAGATGCTGGAGATGCTGGAGATGCTGGAGATGCTGGAGATGCCGGAGATGCTGGAGATGCTGGAGATGCTGGAGATGCTGGAGCTGGGAGTGGAGCTGGGAGCTGCTGGAGATGCTGGAGATGCTGGAGATGCAGGGGATGCTGGAGCTGCAGGAGATGCTGGAGATGCTGGAGATGCTGGAGATGCTGGAGATGCTGGAGATGCAGAAGATGCTGGAGATGCAGGAGATGCTGGAGATGCTGGAGATGCAGAAGATGCAGGAGATGCTGGAGATGCTGGAGATGCCGGAGATGCTGGAGATGCTGGAGATGCTGGAGATGCTGGAGATGCTGGAGATGCTGGAGATGCTGGAGATGCTGGAGATGCTGGAGATGCTGGAGATGCTGGAGGTGCTGGAGACGCTGGAGATGCTGGAGATGCTGGAGCTGCTGGAGCTGCTGGAGCTGCTGGAGCTGCTGGAGCTGCTGGAGATGCAGGAGATGCTGGAGATGCAGGAGATGCAGGAGATACTGGAGCTGCTGGGGATGCTGGAGATGCTGGAGCTGCAGGAGATGCTGGAGATGCTGGAGATGCTGGAGATGCTGGAGATGCTGGAGATGCAGGAGATGCAGGAGATGCTGGAGATGCTGGAGATGCTGGAGATGCTGGAGATGCTGGAGATGCTGGACATGCTGGAGATGCTGGAGATGGTGATGGTGGTGCAGTGGTCGTGGTCGTGGTCGTGTTTCTCATTCGACTTCAAATTCGAGTTTGCATCGGATCTGGAGTCTGATGATGATTCTGATGGCAATTCTTTGATAATTTTGTTGGCAGAAGTGACGAAACTCGAATTTCAAGCAACCCGAGAAGGCCCATGTCTCTCTAAGCTCTCTCCGGGTGGCCATGGGATTTGCCAGCTCGCTGGGCAGCGCTGAAAGGGCACCTTCATCCATCTGGGTGAAGTGGGGGAAAGCCATGGCATATCATGGAATCATGGCACGCCCGAATGATGCTCCACCTGAAGGTTCAACTGATCAACTGATCTTCATTGAAGTCAGTTCTTCTTAACTAAGTTGGTCAATGAACTACCACTGCCGCGCCTTTCAGTAGCTGCATGCCAGCCTGATTTGAGGGAGGGGGGTCCTGCTGTCTCATGGGTGTCAGTGTCGGGGTCCTGTCCGAGGCAGAACATGACAATGGATCAAAAAAAAGACGCCGCTTCAAACTTCCAGCAAACTTTTTTGGCTCTTCAGCTAGGTCTTGCGGAGTACCGCGGGTATCGGAAAGACGCCAGCTCACCGGCGACAGTGGATGAGAAGTGTCGTTGTGACTCTCAAAACTAGCTGGCGTTTTAAAGTCTGTGCTGCCAGAAATACAGAAACTAGTGACTCTGCGAAGTCCTATGCTAATTAAAGATGCTTTCAAGGTGAAGGCTGGCTTTTTCGTCGACCAAGCTACCACGAATCAGGTGGAGCAACCCCCCGACTGAGCACTTGCATGATCTGTACATTGGTCAAATCTAACGATCGCAAAATTGAAAAATGATCTGGGCACGGCGGGGATCGGCACAACTAATCTTCATCATAGTCCGAGTAGTCGTCATCGAAGTCTTCCTCCCCAAAGTTGTCATCATCAAACACTTCATCATCATACTCGTCTCCAGACATATATCCCGCCGGCACGGCGGCGGTGGCCTCCTGATTCTCCTGATGATTTCCAAACAGCCCAGACCAAGCGCCCAAGCTTCCCAAGGAGCTGAAGAAGCCACCATCAGCAACTGGTGGGGAGGTCATTGGTCCCATTCCTCCCATTCCTCCCATTCCTTCCATTCCTCCCATTCCTCCCATTCCTCCCATTCCTCCCATTCCTCCCATTCCTCCCATTCCTCCCATTCCTCCCATTCCCATTCCTCCCATGGGCTCACCATAGCCACCCAAGGCGCTTCCTGCCAGGGCTGTGCCTAGGCCGTTGCCTACGCTGCCCAGCAGGCCACCATTGGAGGCGCCTGCGCCACCTGGCAAGGTTCGGGTGGAGGTTCCATCACTTAGGTTGTTTCCAGTCGATTGCCCAACGACCTCGAATCAGGCTTCTCCGTAAGGCGAACGACATGCAAAGGTGCGCCCTTCATCTGGATATATATATATATACATATATACACACTCTCTATCTCTCTTTATCTTGATCAAACCGGGCCAAAAGGTCACAATAACACAAAGAGAAACCAAAAAAAAACTCACCCTGCCAGTACCTTCCAGCCTAGCTTAGACCCCCACCTCAAAGAGGAGAAAAAAAAACATCCTTTTAAAATCATGTAAAAATCACCGACAATGAATTCTCCAAGTGACCGTGGTCAAGGAGAAAGGCTGCTTCAAATCCAACACCAGGGACGAGGCCAACTGCGGCACCTGGCTGAAGCCGCCTTCCGCCAAGCGCCCCTGGAGGTGTTCCAAGAGCTCCAGAATGCTCACCTTCCCATCAGGGCCATGACTCTGCACCATCTCCATGGCCTCATGAGCCAGTCAGTCCCCATCAGTCACCAATGTTGCCAATGATCAATGGAAAAAATGGAGGTTTGGGGCTGGCTAGTTTAAGCATGCCAAAATGCAGTAAAATAGAGGTTTGGGCTGGCTGTCTGCAAGCATACCACTTGTCGCACACCATCAACCAACAAGTGGGGAAAGAACATCTACGTATGAACATGGATGAACATCTACAAATCTGAGGATCTCTCAAACTTTGGAACCCCCTTCCATCCCCAGTTTAGAGAATAGTGTTCACATGATTCGATAGCGATGAATTGGCGATCCCCCATTTGTCCAGACACATCGCCTTTAAGCCAATGACTCTCCAGCTATCATTTCGTTCCCAAACTGCTGGTGGAAATCCTCAAGCAATCTGGTGGTTTATCCCATGAAAATTGCCGCAAAATGCCATGAAATAATAGCCAGTCTGAGATACACTCCGGTATTCAAACCTAGATTGGTTTTTTTGATGGGTCCTGCGAAACCGGTTGCTACGTTAAATTCTTCACCGAAAGCACCCCGCCACCACCAAAAAAACTCCTTTAGCTGCAGATTTTACAAGCAAAACATAAAACCGTCCACAGCCCCAGGCGGCCAAACATGTAAGCGACTCTTTCGTGACGTATTGCTGCTTATATAGTTATATCATATTCCCATGACTTTGAATATAGGTAGTACGTATGGGTGGTACATTATCCAATAAATACGAATGATATGCTGCACATATCCCCACTGGTCAGTTGGTTTATCAACCCTACTTACAGTAAATAGTTATATCTACCATAAACCACCAACAACTAAAGTAAACCCATAATTAAACAAATAATTACCTGTTATAGCACATCTCTTCCCCACGAACTAAAAATGTCTATGTAAACCTAACTCACATAAACAACAAGAGTCAAGTTAAACCACTGTCAACTCGCCTCGATGAAGGCGCAGGTCAGCGCGCCGCCCGCATCGCCGCGGGCGCCACCCTGGCGGATCTGACCTGCAACGGTCAACGAAAAAAACGAATGCTTGGGCCCCCAAAATGAGGATGCGGTATCTATATCTATATATACATATGTGTGTGTGTGTTTTTAAGAGCATAAACATGTATATATATATATATATCATATATTATATATATATCATATGTATATATATATTATGTATGTATGTATGTATGTGTGTGTGTGTATGTGTATGTGTGTGTATGTGTGTGTATGTGTGTGTATGTGTGTGTATGTGTGTGTATGTGTGTGTGTATGTGTGTGTATGTGTGTGTATGTGTGTGTATGTGTGTGTGTATGTGTGTGTGTATGTGTGTGTGTGTATGTGTGTGTGTGTATGTGTGTGTGTATGTGTGTGTGTATGTATGTATGTATGTATGTATGTATGTATGTATGTAAGTATGTATGTATGTATGTATCTATGTATCTATGTATCTATGTATGTATGTATGCATGCATGCATGCATGCATGCATGCATGCATGTATGCATGTATGCATGTATGCATGTATGTATGTATGCATGTATTTATGTATGCATGTATGCATGTATGCATGTATGCATGTATGCATGTATGCATGTATGCATGTATGCATGTATGCATGTACGCATGTACGCATGTACGCATGTATGCATGCATGCATGTATGTCTGTATGTCTGTATGTCTGTATGTCTGTATGTCTGTATGTCTGTCTGTCTGTATGCATGCATGCATGCATGCATGTCTGTCTGTCTGTCTGTCTGTATGTCTGTATGTATGTATGTACGTACATACGTACGTATGTATGTATGTCATATTATATATGTGTGTGTGTGCGCGTGTGTGCGTGCGATATATTTCATATATATATATATATTGTATATATATATTGTATATATATATATATGCGTGTGTGTATGTATGTGTATATTTCTGCATATGTCAAATTATTACAAAAGAATACCAAATCGAAACAAATATATAAGTATCTTGTGACTAGACAGTGTAAAACTATGGTATACCTTTAAATGATTTTTCTACTGTGGTGATGAAATCGTGTTCCAAATCGTATAATACTTCCAGCGTGACGTATGAACGGTTGCGAAAAACAAAGACTCACTGAAATGACCCTACCTTTAGCAACAGCGAGCTCGGGAACATCATATCCATTGCCATGCTTCTTGTGTTTCTTTACTGGAGGACATACCCCCCGTCAGATCCCAAGATATCCCCAGTCTTCCATCAGGATTCCAATCATCCCGGTCTCCTGCCTCCATGGGCGGTGTTCTTCAAGTCGAACTGCGAGTGCACATCCCCCACGTCCGCACTGGTCCTCCGACAGCGAACTTTCCACAGACCCATCAAGGGTGATTGACCATGGCCATAATGGCCATAATGGCCATAATGGATGTGGCTTTAAAAGTACCAAAATATATTACCCAAAAAGATTGATGAAAGGATTCGAGTTGGTTCTTTACCTGCTGCAACCGGCCTAACCATACAATTTCAAATGATTTATATACATATGTTATCATATGTTTAAATATGGAAAGGGCCAATTATGTTGAGCCATCGCCATTTCGCGCGCAGCAAGTGCAACTGAGTGTCTGATTGGAGGCACAGCCGGTGATCGCCACAACCTCGGCTGAGGTCATTCCGATGTTCCCCGGCTCATCAGGACAGAAGCCGTCCTGCAATGGCCGAAGGTTGGGAACCGGGATCCAGTGCCGACTTGCAACGCCGAATGATGTGCACTTCTGCAGTCTTCTCTGTTTGGGTCTGCTTTTTGAAAAACCTGAGCGAAGCTCAAACCCATTGGCTTTACTGCGAGATACACCAACTTTCTAAGCTGGTAGTTTGGGACGCTCAATGCTCACAGGCTTGTCAACGCAAGATAACTAGTGTATCAGTGGGTGTTACGGCAAAGCTTATGTCAACGTCCTGATTGGCTTCAGTCTTGGCTTTGTATTGCTTCCACATATCCCACAAGCCAAGACCAACCTCAGTGTCCAGGAGTCCAATGCTAAAGAAATGACCCAATCATTTTCAGCACTTGAGTGACACAACAGAAAAACCTTTAGAATGCTTCAGAGGGGGCAGTTGCAGGAACGTGGGGCCGGAATAGGCTTCAAAATCTTCAAATCTAACAGGATCATACAGGATCCTCATGGATCCTCGTGGGGAAAGCTTCAAGTCCATCGCCTCCCAGGTGCAGAGGCGACGTCCCCCAGCAGGGCCATGGGGTTGTCCGCCTCCATTAGTTCGAAGTCGCGCACCCAGTTCTTGGATAACGCCATCCTAAGAGTGACCAAAAAAAAAGAACCAACAGCAGATCCCAGGGATGATCACAGGGATGATCACAGGGATGATCACAGGAATGTCTTGGGAGAAACCAAGATGATTTTAGTTCAAAACTGTTTAAAGACTAAAATGAACTTTGACCATGGGAACCAAGCATCTGAATGGCTTCACCAGCCATCGCCTTCTTGATATTTTCTGGCGTTCCAGTGAAAATGAAAGGAAGATCCAAAGCACCAGCACTGTGACAGGCATCCAAAATGCATGTGAGTCGGCAACCTTTCGGTAAAGGTTTCACCAACATCTCAAAGAGTTCGTTGTCATGGATCATCCCCGCCTCATCCATATCCACTGGGCAAAGGGTTTCATGCCACTCGCCACGGCCATCGGTGCGAGGCACACGGCCACCATGCCCCGAGTAGTGGAAGAACAGGGTGTCCCCCGGCGCAGCACCTTGCACCAGCCAGGCGATCGCCGCTTGGATGTTGGCTTTCGTGGGAGGCTTGTGGTGTCCTGGTGAGTCGAGCCTGGCGTCAATGGACCACAACATGTCAATGTGACAAGTAGGGCTAGAAAATAAAGATGCATAAGTTTAGAATATCTCAAATAAACTTGAATATGGATGTATTAGAGCATGGTCCGACCTCTTGGAACTTGGAACTATCAATACTCTCACCCTCACCTGGCGATCACAATTTGTCCCTAACATGTTTGCGTCATCAACTTCTCGTCATGTCATCCACTGCTCTCATTTTCCCTCCTGACATCAATTTCAAGTCTGATTGATTGAATGATGTCATTGATCGCCGTTATTGCCCCCCCACGCCCCAGCACATGGCAGGGATGTCAACATGAGTTGGCTATCCGTACCATGTGATTGCCATTCCAGTTCTCAGGCAATTCTCAGGGGTGGAGAGGCCTATGTATATTGTGTATGTATATACATACATATTTTATGCACATAATATTATCATAATATACCTAGATTCATAAGTTATATCGTTGCGTCACCAAAGTTCACATAATCCTGCAAATAAATTGGCTAATCCCGAAGACTTGCCGAGCAACAGCACTTGGCTGCAGCCCTCCTGCGCGAAGCCCCACTGCTCCACCAATGGCAACATCCGATGCACGTCGTCCACACAACCATGAAGCTCATTGGAGGAACCAAAATAGTTGATCCCAATAAGCAAGCCTCCAGCAACTTGCTCCCACAGGAGAGGGAATGAAAAACAAATATTGAAGAATTGTCAAATTTTGGGCTACGACGACGAGAGTGGAAGCCGAGAGATGGCTTTCCAGGACATCGCACGTTTAACATCAACCAATGCCTAGTCTGAGACCGAAGCTACGGAAACTAGGATGTGAGTTTCAATGGTCAATCAAGATCATGTCTGTCAACAGGCTTCTAGTTTTCCACCAAGTCACTCTTTCTCTTGCCATGCAGTTCCTGCGGGCCCGCTGGGTGTACCTCAGTTTCAGGCACCTCCGTCTTCTCGGTCTTCTCCGTAGCAGGCAAAGCCTTGGGGGACTGCTCCTTGATCTTGACATTCGACTGCTCCTTCGGTTTTGGCAGCTCCACAATCGGTTTGGTCTCCCTTGGAAGTTCCACAATCTCCTTCAAATAGCTGTGGCCAGTGGACATCCCAGTGGGCATAGGACCATCAAAGGTTCCAAAGTCGGAGATGATTTTGCAGGGCGGCAACTGCAACTGACCTTCATCGGCATCCTCATCGCCTCGGGGCCCGGGCCAATGGCTCCAAATGGACGGCGCGTCCTGAGGAAACACTTCGCCGTCCGCCTTGCTGTTCACCCCGCCCATGGTGAATTGCAGAGCCTTCTGTTGGAGAAACAGCCGAGCGCTGCGGGCTCATAAACACGCGCATGGAACAAAAGAAGAATCATCACACACCCAAGAATCCGCCAGTTCATGCATAAATGAGTTTGATTGACTACAAGCACGCTGCAACGTGATTCCAACTACCCAACCATCACTTGAGATCAATGTCACAGCGACTGGGTTTCCGCACCGCGGGCGTCACAGGGGCCTGCAACAGCAATGCCATCCGACCACGGCGACACCCCTTGGCCACCAGCTTTCACCATTCTTTCACCCGAGGGCTGCACTGAAGCATAGCCTGCCCAGGATTCGCGCATAGGACCGGCAGAACCCAGCTTCAACAACAATCATTTTTGGTCAATCCTCGGGCAATTCAAGAAGCAAAATTTGGCAATCCCATATTTTTCCATCGCCTTCAAACAATCCCAGATTGCAATAAGCAAATCATTCCAGATTGCAATAGCAAATCCAAGAATATGAAAGTGATATGCGTGTATATATATATATATATGTGTGTGTGTACATATATAATGTATATAGTATATAGATATATACACATACACACATATATATATATGCATATATACATAAATACATATACATATATATATATATATGTATTGTAAATACATACATATATATATAATATGTATATGTGTGTTTGTGTAATTCAAAACAGTATGTATGTATGTATATCAGGATACCCTCAACTGCGATGATTTCCCATCTACTCCGACTCACTCATGATCCGTTTCAGTGCCTTTGCCACCCATCTTCCCTGGGCACTGCTGGTGTTTGCCAATGAAACTGGTGTTACTCATGAGGATGGTCGAACCAAACAACCACGAAGAAACAATCTTCCGCAACAAGTCACCCTCTGACATCCAACAATACAAACTCATCACAACTCAAATGGAAAATGCATATGTCAAAATACAGTATTCATACAAATGTGCATGCATATACATTACATGTTATGTATGTATTATATATATATATGGCATTCCATTTACCAAATGATCTTGTACAGCATCACAACTGAGCCCTCAAAGCCGTCTCCCGTCGTGTCCCCACCTGCATCCTTGCCGCCTTTGGCATATCCTGCTGGACCATAGCCACCCAGGCTGCAGCCTCCAACTGGTGGCCCCTTCAGGCCACCCTTCAGGCCACCATGGCCACCAGCGCCACCCTTCGGCGCCTTAAGCACGATGCGGGTCACGGCTTTTTGACATGCTCAAGAATGAATCGAGAATCTGAAGCTATGATACTAGCCAATGATTGGCAGCACGAGTTCATCGGGAGCCAACTTTTGAGTATTGCAAATGTATTACAGGTGTTCGGCCTCATTTTAAATAAGTCTGAAGTACGTGAATGAAGCCTTGGGCACACGGTCTGCTACACTCTTCGATCAAAGAGTTCACAATTGCACCAGTAAGTTTGGGAGATGGGACTTCAGGACCAACTATTGGCAAGTTGCATTATGTTTCACGTTCTGTAGCCCAACCCATGCTGTATGATCCTAGGTGGAACAGGCGTTGTTTTTTCTGTTTCCAATCGCTCGTCTTACAGCCCCTCTCTCCCAGCCTGCCCTGGAATTCCTCCGGGGCCTCTGTAGCAAGTGTGGAATCCAAGCTTTGATTTGCGCACAAGTCGCCGGCCTTTTGAAGTAAGTGATAAGAAATGCCAGGAGAGTCAGTATTGCAAGTCCAAACCGATTTTCACAGCCATTCCTCCTGCAACCCCATGGGAAAATCTCTGGCCTCCGATGTCTGCACGTAATTATATTTACGAGCAGGATGAGTGGTTTGACCGGACGGGACTAGGTGATGTTTGAGTGACGATGTTTTCACTGCGCATTTGCATGTATTTCAATCATCTAGTGGTGACCAGGTCTTGCTGCTGATGCAAACAAACGGGCTACAATTCTGAGGCAGCAGCAAGCTTTGTGATTAAAGGCCCAGTCCCTAAACCATGGCCTTAGCTTCACACACATCTACTGCTACCGTAGCAGCGCTGCATCCATGATCATCCATGTCATATGGGGGTTGTCCAAAATTATGGTACCCGAAAACTGCCCTTTCGCGCCCCAGCAGAATCGGGACATGGGATTATGATCGGGTTTTCGTGTGCAAATTCGTCACAAAGATTCACAGGAGGATTGTATTTAAAAACATTACTGATTGGAGATCCGTTTTCAAAGCTGCTCTAGTTACATTCCTGCTGTGCGTGATGAGTCTGTTCCAGTCCACAGAGTCGATGGCATTGGGCAAGTCAGAGTTCCTGTGAGGGCGTTTGGCTTCTGGACATTGGTTTTGCAGTTGCACCCATTCTTTGAAAAAGATTTTGAAGTTGCGACAATGCAGAAAGAACTAGCCCATTTTGGGCCAGGGTTGGGTCCGGGAGGATTCGCCTTTCGCGAACCTTTCGCGGACCTTTCGCGGACCTTTCGCGAACCTTTCGCAGATTTCTCGTCCAAAAAATGAAATTTCAGAAACTAAATGTTTATGCAAGGGTGTCTTTTATAATTTATGCCAATCATGCAGGGTGCCACTTCCAATAGTCAGAACATGGGACAATACGAAACATGAATCCTGTGGCAATTCTGCAAGGAAAACTGCCAAATATGAATACTATATATTTGTAAATAGTGGTATTCAGACCTTTCGCAGACCTTACGCCGCGCTTTCGCGGCCTTTCGCCACTGCAGCAAAACACACACATCCATATCTGCAGATGTCACTCGGATACTAAAAGCCTTGCATGGGTTTTAGGACGACTCCCATATCATGTCAACCGGGGAGGATCGGGGAGGGTAAAGCCTGGCCGATGAATCGGGTGGGATACCACAGATACCACCAAGAAAAGTGATCATTGCTGGATGTTTCCTGGGGACGGCACTGAGAAGACACCTCGGCGACCTTCCGGCTCGCTATGGATTTTATGCCAGGGTGCCTTTTCAGAAAAAAGGCCATTTAACAATTACGGGGAACACATGGTGATTGACCGGTGGATTTAGGATGATTTAGGGGTACCCATGGGTACCCTAGTTTCACACAAACCCTTCTGGGAGGCCGCCCTGCCTTCTCTAAGAGGAAGGAAACCACCACTTCCAGCCCTTAGGCCATGCACTGCGCGAAATTGTGGCATGATCTCAGAGTTTGGTGAGTAGCTTCAAGCCACCTGTGGGAGATATCGGGAGCCCCAGTTACAAACCACTGTGGCATTCTACTCGCCACCTTTTGGGCACATCACAATAGCATACAATAGCTGGGCACGCGAATCTCCCCCAACTGTTATGGCAAATCATAGGGATTTTACTGTAAGATTGTTTTCGATGGTATTAAACATGTTTAAACATGTTTAAACACCATCCCCACGTGGAAATGATCTCCTGAGCCCCGCGCCCCTCAGCGGTCCAGCGCAAGATACGACCTGCGTACAAGGATACGACCAGGGCTCACCAAATCCAGTGGTTAATCGTCCTCATTAAAATGTGTGTTGGGTAAACCCAGCACCTTAGGCACCCTGCGATTCTGACACAAGGAAGTATAGTTGAACCCTTGGAAATCTTTGGAACTGATACATCAAATCATCACTCCGCCATCAAAGTTGAAGGTTTCCCAAAATATGATCTTAGATATGTTCAACTATATTTTTTATATGGTACAGTACTTGCGGACACCTGCAGTTCAGGTATCTGAAATGGCCATTGATTTCCCTGGTTCACTTTTTTACCACAAATCTCCCCGTGCCTGCTCAGCCATCTCACCCGAACCAACCACAAAGTCCTGACAAGCAAAGTTCCATGACGGGTTCAGGGTGGGGGTCAAAAAAAAGGGGGGGAACGCAGTTAACGGAACAGCGGCCTAATACTGGATTTACCACGTTATACGGCGGTGAAAATCTTCGACATCACCATCCAATTCCAATTTCTTCGGCAGCTCCCATCCTCAACGTGGATCTTCATGCCCGACTCACCCTTGTGCAATGGCTGGAGGGTCAATGGCTGGGTCACCATGGGATTTGGTCACAGTTGGCAATCTTGGATACCCTGGATACCTTGCCCACCCCTGCGAAAAAAGGGAAGGTGTTTCAGCTGGATAGCCACCCGTATAGAGTGCCACAGCTAGTGGCTCTTGCTCAGCATGGGCCTGGATGTATCTCATGTTCTCGCCCTGGATGCCCTTGAAAGCGTTGGCAGACCTTGGTAGTCTTGAGGGCTACCATGGCTTGCTCACATGGGTCGCAGCACAAGCCACAATGAGGTACCGTTGCGCCTCAGCTCTTGTGTCTATAGGTAAACCACTATGCAAAGTCAAACAATCCAACTAGAAAGGCGGGCAAAAGTCCACGGAAAATTTGAGGGCGGTCTATATAGAGTCTATATGGATCAAAACTGCATGCAGCAGGCACCGCTCTTCACTCTTTTCCTCAGCTCCTTCTTGAAGCTGTTTTCTTCGGCACTGCTATCTATTTCGACAGGAAGGCACCTGCCTTCTGGACCTTGCCAGAGCTCAATGAAACCAGTAAGGCCTGGCACCCAAGTGTCAGGTCACCAACAAAATGAGGAGACGAAGACAAAGCTACATATACCTATCTGACCCATCTTTATAAATGTGTATATATGCATTTGTGTGTGTAGAGAGAGATGGCGATAGAGATAGAGCTAAAAATGGAGAAGGTAGAAAGAAAACTCAAAAGAAAAGCAGCTCGAATGTGGCAGAGATCCCTGCAGTCCCAGTTGCATATTAATATGTAATCATAGATTCTAATAGATGCCTTATATCCATACAGAAAAGGAAAAAATACATACCTACATAAATAGATCTGAAAAAACAAAAACTGTACATACATATATATATATATGCATACACACACACATATATATATATATATTCATATGTGTATATATATAATATATATATATGTGTGTGTGTGTGTGAGGAGTAGGAATCACATATTTTCATGCGGTACATCCCCCAGTGTCCATCTGGCGCCTGGGCCTTCTCTTCTGGCACTCCCACGTGGCGTGCCACGGCAAAGCCCACACGCTGGCGGCGCAGATCGTAGGCGGAGTAGAACCTGCCAGGCAAAGTCTTAGCTGAGTTGGTCAGAGATTGTAGGTTAATGACAGTTAATGACGGTTAAGTATGGTTGACTATGGTTGTATAACTACGGTTAACCATGGTGAACTACGGTTAACCATGGTTCATGGTAGCATGTCCATAGATCGTGTGGTTATAAAACACGACTAAGGGCTTATCAACTATATAGCTATTGGGGGCGGTCAATTTGGGGGGAAGTGGTCGAATCCCCATGATAACAACGGATTGACAAAGGGATAGATGTTGGTTTGACCAAGCATAAATTGAATATCTACCAAATGTAATTGGCTACCTAACAAAGCAATAACTGCATTGATAATCCAATCAATTGGATTGGCTTGAGGGAAAAGTGAAAGGTCTAACCAGAAAACACGGTTTTTGTATGTTTATATAGCCCAACATATAATCCAAAATATTGAGGTGTCCTGCAGATGTTCCCTTGAATCAGTTCGCAAGGGGAAGCTCAGCAATTAATCAACCAAGGTTGCCCTCTGCTAATCAAACCTGGCAATGGACATGACGCTTTTCTAGATGATTTTCCCATCAAAAGCTCCATTGACTCCATTGCCATCCAGGGGATTTCTCTTTGCTATGTTTGGTTCACGAAGGCTAGCCATCCAGGGTTGGTATTCGTCACATACCCCATGTATATACACATCACTCAACAAAACGGGGATATCAGATGGGACACGTACCAAGCCAAACCCCCTTTTTGGCGGTCTGGAAATGGGGATGAGACCATTTCTTGGATGGTCAGTAACTTAAATTGGCTTAAATCCCGCAAGAAACTGAGTTGTTCATCGTCGCGGTGCGCGTGTGTTCGCACTGCTGACCAGAATATGCCAAGATCATCCAAGATCATGTGGTGCGTCAAGATGATCCCATCCGTGCGGCAAAAAAAGACGCACGGAACAATTTTCTTGCATCCTCCCGATTCTCCAAGTTGTTGCATCCCCAACTTTGCCAAGGCGCTTCCGCAGGAAGGGATCCCCAAAGATGAAGAGAGGGCCATTCGGAGGTGGCACATCCAGGCCTGTCCAGTCACCAGCCACCAGCCACCAGCCACCTCCCCTCCCGCCAACGCAGCTAAGGCAGTACTAAGGCAGCTAAGGCAGCTAAGGGACTCATGAGGGAAGGAGAACAGCTGCCAGCAGACTTGTCCACATAGTCCGAGGGTTTCAGATTCATCACCTGATTCCGCAGGCTTAGCCTGCGGATTTCATCACTGAACGGATTGGTTTCATGGCATATTTGAACCGAAAACACTGGTTTTTACCCCAACAATCGGGTTTTCTGCAGACTTGCCCTTCAACCAATACTTGGAACCTAGATATGCTATGAAATGTTCCACTGCAGCACTATAATCCCATGTTATTCCCACGTTCCCATGATATTCCAATATAATCCCATGATTCCCATAAATTCTGTTTGTTCTGTTGTTATCTTGACCTCTCCACACTTCCAAGGTGCATGGCCCGCCACTACGAAGCCAAGGTCTGGAAGATCCTGGGGATGGGAACCACAAATGAGTCATCTACATGTTTATATATATATACATATTATATGTATGTGTATAAATATATATATGTGTGTGTGTTTGTATGTGTATATATATATATATACATATGTGAATCTTTAAATATATGTATGTATATATCATTATATATATATATACCTTATACATGTATTAAGAAATATACATATAAATATATATATATACACATATATGTGGGTGGATATGCAATAATTGCTAAAAGAACAATCAGAGAAACAAATACAGCAGATGTGTGATATGTATTATACATGTGTAAAAGCCCTTGGTTTTTGTGCTCTACATCATCCACTGTGCCTGGTAGTTGGAGCAATCTGGTGCCACTCGAAGTCGCCTCAGGCCATGATGGATCTTGACTCCGTTCATTTGCGGAGAAAGCGAAATGAAAAAAATTGAAACGAATACACATAAATATCTATGCATCGATGCATCTATGTATCTATGTATCTATGTATCTATGTATCTATGTATCTATGTGTCTATGTGTCTATGTGTCTATGTGTCTATGTGTCTATGTGTCTATGTATCTATGTATCTATGTATCTATGTATCTATGTATCTATGTATCTATGTATCTATGTATCTATGTATCTATGTATCTATGTATCTATGTATCTATGTATCTATGTATCTATGTGTCTATGTGTCTATGTGTCTATGTGTCTATGTGTCTATGTGTCTATGTGTCTATGTATCTATGTATCTATGTATCTATGTATCTATGTATCTATGTATCTATGTATCTATGTATCTATGTATCTATGTATCTATGTATCTATGTGTCTATGTGTCTATGTGTCTATGTATCTATGTATCTATGTATCTATGTATCTATGTATCTATGTATCTATGTATCTATGTATCTATGTATCTATGTATCTATGTATCTATGTATCTATGTGTCTATGTGTCTATGTGTCTATGTGTCTATGTGTCTATGTGTCTATGTGTCTATGTATCTATGTATCTATGTATCTATGTATCTATGTATGTATATGTATATTGCTGAGATATTTATAGCAATTTAGAAATCCTCGCCTCGTGAGCTCGTGGATCACCCTGCTGGGCCCGGCCAGCATGGAGGTGCCGGTATCCACAGCCACCTGTCCCAGGTCTCCAAGTTGATGGATCCTGTAAGCATCACTATTGAATAAAAAATGATATATAATAGTAAGCATATGTAACACTTATGATACTTTGAAGAGTAACTATATATCTATATATATATATCACTATGATATACTATAATAATAATTATTATTATTAATAATAATAATAGGAAGGGTAGCCATCTTATCTTTGTTGATACGTAACCATCACTAGTTTAATAGTGACCATCGCTATTCTGGGATCAACCCCTAATTATATAGTAAATAGGTACCAGTAGGCTTCAAATGATTTCAATGGATTGGTTTAGGCAAATGTACAAGAAAACCCCACCCCCCCGACAGTTACATATAGTTACATGTTGGGCTTCCTGCAGATTTTCCCTCCAACCAATTCTGGGAGACAGGAAATCAAGGCTGCAAGTCTTGATTGTCTTGCCAGTATGATTTCAAACGGCCTGCAGGCCTGAATTCAGAAGATTCTAGAAGCACTTCGGCTTCTAACCCACACCTGGCAGTCGGAGCAGAGCTTTTGCTGCTGGTTGCCGATGGCAATATCTTCCATCTGCACCTGCCGCAGCCCCATATGGGGCATCCAGGTGCGTCCTCGCCACCACCCGACCCTGCCTGCCAATAACCTGTCTGCCGGGAGACCGGAACCCAAAACCTCAGATGCCAAACATGGCGACAAGGGATTCGCCAATGTCAATGGGCACTTGAAGTCATTTAGGATCATCATCCCATCTGCTGGATGAAAAAGTAAAAATATTTGAAACCAACAGTCACACTCAATGGCTCCGTTTAAGGGAGAATGCATTGATCATATGGATCACTTGCAAGGAAATGTTCAGAAACCATGGTTTTTGCGACAGTTTTATAACAGTTTTAGAACCCACTACTGGGGCTATCAGGGACAGCTTTTCCCTTGGGATCGAGCCACATGTCGCCCACCATCCTCTCCTGCTTGATGTCTCCGAAGGTGATCTCTGAATCTTCACTGTCGGAGTCCGACAGGAACACTGCGAAGATGGGATGCTTCAGGTTGCCTGCGGCCTGCAACGGTGGCAGAAATTGAGCCATATCTTTATCCCAGACTCCAAGCAGCCAGGACCTACTTTGCACTACGTTGCACTTAGAAGCAGGCTTGAAGCCTCTGTTGGGCTTGGGCTTGGGTAACTCGGGTGGTTCCAGGACCATGACCATCAGGTACCTACGGCAACACCCAGCCTCCATTCGATCCATGATGCTGAAATGTGGCCCCTGCGTCATTCCAGAGAGAGCCAGGCCCAAGACTCCGTCAAAGTCAAAAGATCCAAAGGGCTCCGCGGTCTCATGGGAAGCTCCAATGAAGTTCATGTTGGCGCACAAATTGCCAATGCAAACGTCGTCTTTCAAGAAAACACCGGTGATCCTTGGATGGCTGGAGCTGAAGAATTTGGCTGAAGACGCTGGAGCATCAACTCTGTTGATTCTGTTGGACCTAGAAAGCAATTCTAAAGGCTGGAGAAAGAAACTGAAAAAACAAGCGCATCCAAAAGGATACGAAAGGATCCTTTTGTGTATCAAATGTTCTATGTCTTCTGGTCCTCAAATCCCAATGAAAAAGAGTGGTGGATAGTACGAGTACAGTGGATGGTGGATGATAGTGGTACACATGGTGATCATTTCACAAGTTCATTTTCCCAGCCAAAGGGCTCACCGGTTCCAAAGGTCACGGTGAGTTGATCGCGCTGGTCGTTGGCACCGGCTTTCGATCCATCTGACTGCATGTTCCTGGGCCATGAACGAAACCCTGAGACCCACCGAACCTGTCATTATCGGATTATCACTCAAGACCACTCGAGTAGGAGCTGGTTTTTTGATGTTTTTTGTTTCTAGCTGTGGGATTCTGTGGGTATGTGCTGTCAACATGTGAGCAATCTCGGAAACTCAAGGTTCTCAAGAAGGACATCAACAAATTTGGGAAGGTCCCATCACTTACCGCACGGTTGTACAAAAATTATGTATGATTGGCAAATTTAGGGTTATCGCTTCAAGGAGAGAATCTATGCGCACAGGTCACAGGTGTGACATAACCTTCAAAGGGGGTATCGCTATTTGGGAAGGTCCCATCGTGTGCCTCATGTTTGTACAACTTCTGAAAACCAATGTCCGTCCCTTACATGTTTCCTATGGCAGAAGTGTTTTTTTGCAGTGGCTCATCTATTCAGCCAGTCTGACCAGGCACACTGCTGAAGCAGACTTAGAGGCATCGAAACGCTTGTGCCTGGCACTGTGAAATACTACTGCGATCCAGGATGGAACCCAAAATGGCAAACTTTAACAGCAAATTGATATTTGGGCATCCCACTTTTTCCACTTAGAGCTTAAAGACAATGATTTTGAACAGTGCGGTCCTTTACTTTAGTCCCTGGGTGGCACCTCAGGCATGCAGCGTCATCGCACAAAGTGGAGGGCACCATCAAGTTCCCACTACCTGGAAGGGAGAAGCTGTTGGTTCAGATACGGATTCCACGGCAAGTAGAAGACTCCACGGATCATGTTTGGTGTTAACGCGTATCTAATATCCTACGGAGGTTCAGTGTGTTGTTGACCACGTGTGGTTGTAACTTCTATACCTTCTATTCTATTTGCTGAAAATGAAATTCACTCCATGAGTCTGAAGGGCTGCCCCAGCCTGTGTCGAATACTACCGTTGCGGTTTGCTCTGGATGACCAATGTGGATGTTGCCATAGTACCTCATTGTGGCCCGCTACGCAATGAAGTGCCAAAAAGAGAACTAACCACTCATATCATATCGATAGACTGTGGCATTATCTGTTTGAATGCGCGTGCCAAAGCAGATGTGGTATACAAATGATAAACATGTCATAGATCTTAGGTGGTAGATATATACATATACACATATAGTCTCATATAGATGTGCATATCATATATATATATATATTATTATATATACATATATATATATATATGTATATATGTATGTCTGTATGCATACATACACACACACACATGCTGCATTTGAGGGCGGAAAAACATCAAAAGATCGAATAGACAAATAATATGTGTGAGATGTGTGAGATGTGGGAGAGAGAGAGAAAAAAAAAAATATATATATATATAGTATTATATAATAAATACATGAATGATCATGAATGAACGAATGAACGAACGAACGAACAAACGAATTAATGAGTAAGTAAATGAATACGAAAATGAACAAGTAAATAAATGCATTCAAAGGACTCAGCCTGTTGAGAATGTATCCTGCTCGTTTCAATCAAACCGTGCAGCCTCTAATGCTAAAAGATCTAAAAGTTGCCCGAGCTCCAGTCAAGGCGCGCAGTCTTGTGCACCACCGAGCTTAACGCATCCACACTGCTAAATGCCTACAACGGGAATCTGAATCTGAATCGTTCACCGACAATTAGCCAAAAAAAATAGAAGCATCAAAGTGACTCTTGCTTCTGTCCTTCATGATGAATGTAGGTGCGTCATGGCAACCACAATGCGCCAAATCCAAATAATTCCAAGGGCATTGTTCAACCCTGCCTGCAATCTACTGGCCCTACTCAACTTCTGCGCCACTGTGTGGTTGGCACGCTTGAGCACCACCTTGGCACACGTCATTCAGACCGGGCGGGCCTCAATTGGGCCTCACCCTGGCAGCATCTCATGGTGCAAACCAGTGGCGGAGTGGGAAGACTTCAAACCAGTTCGGACTGAAGCTGAGTGACCTTCTATCAGAACACCTTAGCATGACAGCAACTCATGACAGTAGGTACTCCAGGGACTCAACAATGATTAATGACAATAACCAAACTTGAACCTGTGAAAAGGATTGAAAAGGTGTCGCTTGATGCAAATGTCCGAGTGACTCTCACAGCAGTGTAAGCACGATGACAGCCTCAGCTGGAACGAGGTCAGGTGTTCCAGTCCCGTTTTTCCCATGCCACGGAGTTCAAGCCAGAAGTACCCGCAGTACCCTTTACCACAGCCAATCTTGGATAATCTGCACAAAAATCAGCAATGTCAACATCAATATAATAAACCATTTCATGAACCGATCCAACACAACCAACATTTACGCAATCACGAAATCACTAAAATCTGCCATAAAATCAAATAAATCAGCACCACGAAACAGAAATGCCACGAGCGAAACGGGCCAAGGGCGGCAAGCCATGGTGCGGCTTGGGCCACTTCTTTGGTCGGGGGCCTGGCTACTTCACCAGGCAGGGTAGCGAGCAATCCTCACCACCTTTGAGCCAAAATAAGATGTGCCAAAAAAGATAGGAGAAACATGGAGAAACATGTTTATGTGTTATATGTGGTTTAAAGTTTAGGAAGCCATAAAAAAGACATGTTACCAATTTGAAACTGCCATTGTTTGCGCCAACAAAAAATGACAGAGAGCAGGAGCTTTGTGGGGTTATTGGACCACCCCTTCACATTCAAACATCCTCAAACTGTCCAATGACCACAAGCACCTAATTATTTCTTTTCCAGAAGACCATCTGGCAAGCTGCAGTGGCGCCATGTTGCCGCCCGCTTTCCCAACCTTTTCTCCATCTGATGTGTGGCGATGCAATGATTTCACTGCGTACTGATCTGTCCTAGGCGCTGGCAGCTGACATGATGTCCATGGCTTTCTTCAGGGATTCCAGCTCCTCTTGTCGCTGCTCTTCACGCTCCTCCAGAGGAATTGAAAATCATTGAAAATCTATGGCAACTATGGCAACTGAGTGCGGCAACTGCCCTGGAACTGGAAGATCCAGCATCTTCCCATGTTAAAAATTATCTCAAGCAAATGGCAAGTAAGAGAAGTGTGGAAAGCCCTCCGCATCCTTAGCAACAAAGCAATTTTCAACAAGACTCCCGGTGTCCTTCCAAGCCTCACCTCCCTTCACGCAAGGTGGCCTCGGGGGCTCAGCAGCATCCCCTGGCCCCCCTTCAGCAATGCATGGCCAAGACATGCAAACTTCATCTTGGGGAACAAGATTCGGGATAGGTCCCCACCCCATCTTCGGGGTGAGAGTCGTGGCAATGAGCAAAAAAAAACCCTGAAAAATCTGTGGAGAAGTTAGCAGGGTCCCCCCAGGGCGCCAGACTTCAGCTCCTCATAGTACTGCAGAGCTGCAGCGAGCTCCTGTTCACCACTCTGGAGCTCTGAGCCTCTGCAGCAGGCTGTGGGGTGGGAAGTCCTGGAATTGGTCAACTACCAACTTATCCAACTTGATCTGACTCGGTGATCTGGAATTATCTGAAGTCATCCTCCATCCAGATGTTCAGCCCATAGTCGAAGAATCTCGATAAATGGGCAGGATAAATGCCAGGGCCCCCTGCCCTTGGTGGCAAGTTGTGAGGTCTTCTCCACCTTGGTTGACTGCAGGTGCTTCAGGTCGGTCTCCTGATTCACAGGGTTTTACTCCCAGCTGGATCTGTACATTGAAGAAGTGACAAGGGTGACACGGGCAACAAGGGCCCCCAAACTAGATCATCATTACCCTTGTCAAAGGTATCAAGCTCATCATCGGTGTTTCCGGGCAATAGGTCCCCCTTTTAGCAGGTTCAAGTTAATCCTCAATTTCGGTGGTTCATCTCCGTATCTGGCAAACAAGAACACTCCTTATCAATCATCATCATCATCATCATCATCATCATCAACCAACCGGAATCCACATCGCACAGTGCTCATCTTTCTTTCTTTCTGTCCTTCTCAGCCTTGTTGATTTTGTAGTCGCTGGACAGCCTCGGGACTTAACGGACGGATGTCAGCCAAGGATACCCGACGTCCATCTCTAAATCTCGACATCGAAAATTGGAAAGAAACACGCCAAAGTACTCGAAATCCCGAGTCTGAGAACCTGTGGTTCTGATTCGTCAGTATGCCCTCACAATATCTCACAATTCAACTCTTGCATATCATGTAGCTTGTCAAACTCCTCAGCGGCCGATTGCTCCTGCAAGCTCTTCGACTGTTGCTGATGATGGGCCATGGCGTCATATGCCACCAGACTCCCATTGGAATGTGCCCATCAATGTTGACAAAAAAGAGGGGCTTCACATTAAATATGGCAATCCAGTACGGGTGACCATAGCTCTTAGAGGTGCAAGCGCGCAAAAACAATCAAAACAGCCATGTCACAGTCACATCACAATCATCACAATCATCGCATTCCTGTATCTTTCGAATCCAAACAGCCATTTGAGTCATTTGAGATCATCAAGGTGGAAGTGCAGATCCATCAGTCCCTTTCGCTTGCACCTGGCCCATCCTGGCCCCAGGTCCCGGCTCGATGGTCTCCTCGGATTTGGTGTCTGCCTCCAAGCGCGCAAAGTCTGCAGAGATGGTCTCCAACAAACTGACCACGCCACCCGTCTCGCTGGTCATACCACCGTAGGCACCGGTCATGGCCTCAAAAGGGCCATGGCACGCCATGGCGTGCCGAACGGATTGGAACGGAACACAGTGCAGCCGCTGCAGCCGCTGCAGCCAGGCCGCAGGTTCTTTGCTTCTCTGCACCAAGGCCAAGCCACTGGACTCGTAGAACCTCAGCCCCAAAAGGCCCAACGGGCCCAACATGTTTCAGGTCACCCGGATATCATTGGATTCCATTGGATTCCTATGAGGCCACCGCCACCGGTGAAATCCTAAGGTCTCCCGACTCTTTCAGCGCATTGATGGCCTCCAGCACTGCCGCTTGGGCCTTCTGGGCCTGCCAAAACATCACGAGGTCAAGATTCCGTGCCAAACAACCAGCGAGTCATTGCATCATTATTTGTTCCTTGGAAGTGGAGTTTCAAGAAATGGTGTTATCCAGTGTAAAAGTGCGTTGAGGACTTCTTTCACAGCTTGGAATCAATGAAGAGCCATTGAAGCTCGAAGAGAAGCACACAGCTTCAAATTGCTAGAGTCTGCTAGGGGTGGAGATGATGTTCGGATCAGTCCCGTCTGACTTCCATCGGCTGGGGTATTTTACATCGAAGTGGTGGGCGCTACAAACATCACCCGCTCAGGGCCTCTTCGATTGTGGCGGCCTCGGCTTCCAGTCGTCAATGGTCATGGTATTTGGATGTATTTGGATGGTCATCTAATGGGAATCCTTATCATGGCATCCCCCAATCCAGGTATATCATCCAAGTTTTGACGCGAGGCACCCTTGGGGATGGATCGACACTCTGAGACCACCGGGCATTCATGGACTTTTCCTGCTGGCGGATCTCTGTGGCGTTTGCCATGGCCTGTGGCGGCTCAACGGGTTAGATGGTTAGACGTGGGAATCCTGCAACTTACAACCACTGATAAACTTCAATCATGATCGCTACCAGGTTCTTGGCCTACACGGTGGAACCCATAACAAGGCAAGTTGATTTGTAAACTTACCTTGCATGCAGTAGATATGTCCGCCATTAACTCCAGTCAGCCCAGTTACAAACAAACTTACCCGTCCAAGGGGCTCACTTTGTAGGTAAGTGGGGTGAAATACCGCGATTACGTTACAATTGATTCTAATTGCACCCAGGATCGGCCATGTAGTATAGGTTATTATTGTATATTATAGTAGGCTCAGGATGCTCAGGCTGCCATAAAGAAAATTTGCTGCACATCTTCTTTTGCGAGCTGCGATTTGAGAATCTCGTTGTGGGTTTTGGTGAACAGGTTGGTCACTTGCACAACACGGTGCATCTCTGGCAAAGCCCCGGATGGAAAATCTGGGGCCAGGGGCTCTGCCAAGTCGCTCCACCAAAAACAGGTGGAGGTGGAACAGGTGGAACTTCCAGGGCCCCTCTCTTGAGGAGATCACCCGAAAATGCGACATCCAACGCTAAAACACTCACCTGCCAAAAAAGGGCCCACCTGCCAGGGGGGGATAGTTTGACACAAATCCATACAAATCCAATAAATGTCAGCTTAGTTTGCTATCATGGCTATCATCTTCAAGCCCTTCATGGGCGGACTCCTCTGAAAAGCATCAGAAAAGCATCACTGCATCCTATTGCAACATTACATACTTAGTGGTAAGTTAGTAGTGATAGTGATGATGATGATGATGATGATGATGATGATGATGATGATGATGATGATGATGATGATGATGATGATGATGATGATGATGATGATGATGATGATGATAGTGACCGTGATGGTGATGATGATGATGATGATGATGATGATAGTGATAGTGATAGTGATAGTGACAGTGATGATGATAGTGACAGTGATGATGATAGTGACAGTGATGATGATAGTGACAGTGATGATGATAGTGACAGTGATGATGATAGTGACAGTGACAGTGATGATGATGATGATGATGATGATGATGATGATGATGATGATGATGATGATGATGATGATGATGATGATGATAGTGATAGTGATAGTGATAGTGATAGTGATAGTGACAGTGATGATGATAGTGACAGTGACAGTGATGATGATGATGATGATGATGATGATGATGATGATGATGATGATGATGATGATGATGATGATGATCATGATAGTGACAGTGATGATGATAGTGACAGTGATGATGATAGTGACAGTGATGATGATAGTGACAGTGATGATGATAGTGACAGTGATGATGATAGTGACAGTGATGATGATAGTGACAGTGACAGTGACAGTGATGATGATGATGATGATGATGATGATGATGATGATGATGATGATGATGCTGATGATGCTGATGCATAATACTAGCACGGTGTTAAGTAAATCACACTAGTTGTGCAAAAGTCACACCAACCCCGTGGCACAGCGAGGTTGAAGAAAGTCAGATCAATTTGGCCAAAAGTCACATCAAAATATCAAAATCCCCATGGCACACCGGCTTTCAGGCAACGGTTCTATATGTCAAAAAATGAAGAAAACATTGCGCACACTGCGGCGTTAATACATTTTCAATGTATGTGTTCATAGGACATATATAAAGGAATCACCATGGCACAGGGCAACCAAGGACTTTCACCTTTGTCCGGAACAAACACAAAACCCCATGTCTTAGCGATGGGCACCATCATCATGCCAACAGCTTCAAATCACGAATCCCATTGGCACACTGTTGTCCATATCCCAGCAGCAGCAGCAGCAGCAGGCGCAGGCAGAATCTACCAGCGGAACCCAGCAGCAGGCAGAACCCACCAGCAGGCGGACCCTAAACATGATGATTTTCAATGGTCACGCCTCTCACCACTTATTGTGGAGAATGGCATCACCATAAAGAATGCAATCAATACCATAAAGGGTTAACTAGAATCATGTCAACAAAACACTGCGCACAGCGATGAAAGAGTATTTCAATCAATAGCCAGTCAAATAAAGAACTATCAAAATCTATCCGAAACACTGGCGCGCACGCAGGTGCGATACGACTTCAGGTCACTTGATACGACTTAAGCTTTAACACTGCGTAATAATACCGGTAATAGTGATCATGATAATGATAGTTGATAGTTATAATACATATAGTATAATAATGAAGAAAAATAAGCAACAATAAAGAATAATAAGTAAGAATTAGTAAATATGCATATATGAAACGAAATACATAATAAATAAATAGTAGGAATCTGTAGGAATAGGCTTATAACAAGTATATAAATATAAATATAATAATAATAATAAACAACAAATGATACAGTATATATATATCGATAAAGAATGGAAAAAAAAAGATTAAACCATATCAGTATGCTCTTGTCACATGTGAAAGCACTTGGTATGGCTGGGTCACTATTCACGACAACGTTTTTGAAATGGAGTCAACGATAGTCAAGGTGAAATTTGGTATCCCTGAGCGGGAAATGGATTGTTGAAAATTGTTGAACATCCTGAGAAAGAGATTGCCTCGATGGGCACTTTCACTCTGGCCTCTCTGCAGCGCTCACGACTCTTTGCTGCCCTTATTGCACAGTTGCTGAGGGCGAAGCTTCCCACACAGGGTCAGATGCTAAAGGCGACCCCGACCCCTCGTGCTGACCTGGTACAATAGAATCAATAGACAAGTCTACGGATGGTGAAATTTCATGATCATGTTTCATTGTCGGGTGTCCTTCTATTTTCCCCCGCTTTGGATGCATTTAATTTTTAAATCATTTAAGATCACTTCCTGACAATTCGAGAGAAGGCGTGAAGGTGCTGTTGATGAGGGACCCCACATTGATTCGAGGAAATATCAGGGACCAAACGAACTAGATGATACTAGATGAATCAGACAACTCGTTCATCCCCATTGAAGTTCTCCTTTCCAGTGGCCGCGCCGGGCGGCAAAAAACTTCTTCGCCCTCTTGATGCCCAGATTGGCCAAGGGATCCAAGCCCTGGCGAGCCTTTCGCGCCGCTCCAAATCCCGATGCGAATGCGACAGAACTGAAAGAACACAGACGTAACTTGGAAACCAGTACTCTCACTCTCTTTCTCACAGTATCTCACAGTATCTCACAGTATCTCACAGTATCTCACAGTATCTCACAGTATCTCCCGATCCTGGTCTGGCCACACCCCAGAGTTTTGTTTGGCAGAAAAAATGCCGCCCCAAGGGATTGAACTGGAACCTCCTCATCGCGGATCTTGCCCAAGTCCTCCAGGCTGCCCTTGTAGAAGTCCAGCTCCGACTCGTCTTCTGCGGAAGGGGAAGGTGGGTGCTAAGCCGGGCATCAAACTTTGTATGGTCGATGGTGGTACCATTACCTCCCCACACCTGGTGCTTGCATGTGCACATCTGCCCAAATCGCCAGGGTTCGGCCTGGGAGGTTGCTCACATCTTCTCCTCGCAGGATGCGGCCTACCTTGCTTGTACGGCCTGGGATGAAGAGCTCTGAACATTGTACCCTCTGGCGGCCAGCTGGCATCCGTGGCATGATACAGTGCATTGATTGCTTTGATATCAAGATATTTGTCCATGTGCAGCTTGCATGTGCAAATGACCCCCCCTCTTCTGCTCTAAACTTCGAAGCTCACCGCGCCTGACAGGTCAATATTGACTTCCTTGCCCAGTACAAACTTGTCGAACCTGGGTCTATGAAGTCAAGGATGGTCGCTACAGGAAGAGCACAAGCACAGGCGCAATTTGAGAAGCTATACAATACAGAGATGGTAATGTCCAAGAACTATCAAGAACATTCAAGAACTATATACTTAAAGCACGCAGTGTCCACTGTGATACAAATGAATATCGTCACTCATCACCCCAATCCCAGCAATTGTTTATAAGTGACAGGGCGTTGGCACCGGCACTGATGATAGTCACCAGTAGGCCAAACAGAAAGATCTTGCCCAAGAAGTCAGGAGTCACACCTGTGCACGCTGCCTTCCCCCCAAATTGACATAGACTCTGAAAATAGCCACGTCTTAGTGGAAAGTAATCTTCCAAAGCCCTATTTGGCGGGGTCTATGTTGATTTGGGGGACAGTATATACATGTATATACGATTCCTCGCTATTTGAGTGTCCAACCTGCAAGTGGGCTCGCTTTGGGGGAAGCAGCGGCGCTTTGTTGAGATTCTCAACTCCTAGGATCACCCTGGCCCAGCATCCCTCGGACAACCCTGCCCAGCCGGAACCTGTCTTTGGCAGCAATGCCTCCTTGGCACATGAAAACGGCTGCTCGGTCGCACATGTTGCAACTTTGCAGCCCCGACAAAGGAAGAAGCAACAAGTCCATGCTTTACTTCGGAAACAAAACCCGTTGATTTTAGGCTCCATAGTTTTTGGAGGCACAAACGCCGAAAAGATTTCCCCACCGTGAATTGCTACTTCTTCCGATGCAATGCCTGCTGCCCAATGCTTGCCCGGGCGCAAAAAAGTCACCAACACTGGAATCCGCCTGCACCTCTGATGACTGCCGCCGTCACTAGACATGTTGCAACTTCCAAAATCTCCATGTGCAAAAAAAATGATGCGGTTCGAGAAATCGAATGACGGGTAAAGGATGGTAAAGGACAATCTTAACTGCAAGCTATGATCCACCGCCCTTAGCTTGCAGGAACTTTGAAGATCTTTGAAGTGCCAGGTTGCCAACGGCTCAAACATGTCAACATTTCGCCACCATTGAGCTGCTGGCCTCAGTCATGTCCACCCCGGAGGTCTTCAAAAATTCCAGGTCCTGCAGATTTCTCTGAGCAACGGATAGCAGGTATGGCTTGTGGTTGAGCCAATTTTGAGCACAAAAACCATCTGAAAACCAATTTTGATCATCCCATTTACGAAAGAGAAAATATGTGAAACCACCAGCCGGCTGAAGTTTGGGATGTACCAGCGCAATTACATATCAATTGGTGAGCGAATATGATTTTCACATGCTTTAAGTAGAAAAAGAATCCTCCTCCAGGTATCTGCGAAATTGTGTGTCATGTTGGGATGTCTATCAGCCTGAATGTTCCAACTCTGTGGCTAGCACTACCGAGAACGTCACCACTACAGTACTGGGTGTGATCGTTGTGCGAATATGTGCAAATGCGTGGGTTCCATCAAAAAGTATATAGACTACCGGGGGCACCATGACCTGTATATACTGTAGACTGTAGATGAATCCGATTCCTTAATTTCTTCGCTGTTGAGACCATATACCCTCTGGGAATTTAACATAACCATGGAAAATCACCATTTTTAATGGGAAAATCCTCTATAAATGGCCATTTTCCATAGCTATGTTAAATTACCAGAGGGTACCATGCATCACCATGCATCACCATGCCACGGTGCTGCCCTCGCCTCCTGGCTAATGGGTCCGCTGTCCACGGCCATACCTGGCGACCATGTTCTCCACTGTCACCAATAGCGCAAAACCCTCCGGTGAACAGCAAGATTGCTGGCATAGCTGGATGTTCATCCCCTATGATCCCATGAGTATTGGATGGTATTGGCCAATATACCTCAAATGCATGCAAATGCAAATCTTGCCGTATATATATATATATATAGGGTCATTCTAAACCATACCATTTTTTGGTATATCACTGAGCTGCGACCAATGTCCACCCAAACTGCTCCTTGGACCCCGTGCGTCGCGTGCGGGTTGTAGCTGCTCGTCGTGCGGGTTGACCCATAGGACCTGCCAATCTTCAATGATCACATTCCCTTAATAGGCTTTAAAATGTTTTACATATATTTATATAAAACCTTTCCAATAAAGGACCCCAAAATGAATAGATCCAATAATGAACCAGGGTTGAGATTAAAAGGGGGAAAGGAATGATCAAAGGAGTCAAGACATATCAAAAGGGGCAAATAAAATTGTGAAACTCTTGAAAGCAACCACAGTGCCATGCTGCTCGGTCGCTTCACCAAAAAATGTCCCATGGAAATTGCGTGCAACATCCTTTTTGTGTTTTGAACCCAGGGCTGGCCATGAGTGCTTCGCATATATACATCCAAAAATTACTCCAGCAAGGGGGGCCAAACAGTGTGAGAAGTAACTTGGGGGAAGTAGTTTCGTTGGATATACTGATATACCCCAACTGGAATGTGCACTATGCCACAACAAGAGCGCTCCGACACGAACAAAATGCAGAAGAGGTTGCGCCGGCAACGGCGAGTTGTTACAATGCCACCAGCACTGCGCGCAGCGCGAAACATGAATGTTCTAAATGTGAACTTGCGGCCGGGGGGGAGTCACTGAAGCTAACAGGACGCTGCTAATGTTGTACCGGAGATTGCTCAGCTGCAAGAGTAAACTGATGAACTGATGACGATGATGGTGGGTACAAATGAATTTGACGATAATGCTGATGATAATGTGATGATGACGACGACGACGAGGAGGACCACAACAATGATGATGGCAATGCTCCTAAGAAAGATGAAAATGAAGAAGGCGAAGATAAAAACGTAGAAACCTGTGCCTGCCCCAAAACCACCTGATGATGGTGATGCAGATGCCGACAATGAAATGCTGAAAATGAATTATTGAGATGATGACCCTCTACTTGAACGCAACCCATGGTCCAGGGGGCAGGTGCAGGGAGCGTGTAGGATGTGTAGGGGGGGGTCTAACCTGCAAGTTTCAGGGTTTCCAACGGTCCTGGTGCCTGCCTATTCCTTGCTAAAGCAAGAGCAACTTTGGCTAGCACAAGCTAGCTTTCGTGAAAACAAACCAAAACAATATGTCAATATTGTGTGTAGGTTTTGAACACATAAGAAAGATAAGATACCTAAACTACTGCGCCTGCCACAAAACTGAACCTGAGGCATCGGAAGTACAGTGCCTGATCACCACGTACCAGGTACCTAATCTGATCATGACGACACTCTCACAAAACGACCGCTTCAAGGCTTTGAAAACATCGTCCAAGTTCACCAAGCACTGTGGGCTTGCCATACAATGCTACCTCCGGCGGGACCGTTTATCTTTGACCCACACCTGCCAACGCTCTCTAGCTTTGTGCACGAAAAACTACGCCTGCCAGCGGGCAAAAAAGTGTCCGAAGCCTTGCTCCTGTCATACAAAAAGAGGCTCTGACCCGGATCTCTTGTGCCTGCACAAAAAGCACATAGTTTCACAGACAGAAACGGCGCGTCGGTAAAAGTACGCGTTCAGATGAGAGCAAAGTGTGACACAAATTTTGGGCGCGCCGGCGAAGTCAAAACGAACATCAAAATCTCAGAGGGAACTGCGAGGCGGCTCACATAAAGTCCATGCCCAGAGGTGCGACCGCTCGATCAACCCCGCTTCCAACAGTTGCTGTAAGAACCCCTTAGTGTGAACACACTGTTTGAGGAAACAGGATGAAACAGGGGCGTAAACGAAAATGTGGCTCCAATATGCTCTAATGGGATACTTATCAACGCCACGAGCAAGATCTCCGGAGCCCACATTGCTTATGATTTCTTCCAGTGTTTACCCCCTAACAGTTAGCCAGCCATAGCCAGCCACCATCGGCCTGCCAATATGAAGGCCCGCTGCACCGTGACGCCCAGTAAGGCCACCAGGGCCAGGGCCAGCGTCACGGTCTTGCTCCCGCGGCTCCGGCGGTTGCGGCCCATGGCTGCAGATGGCGGGAAAACTGACTTGATTTGATTTGAAGACTACTGAAACCATAGGAAAACCATAGGAAAACCATAGGAAAATGGAGGTTTACCCTCTGGTAATACCACTGGCAATTTTGGGGGATCTGCTTAACTAAAGAAACCAGAGGGTTTCAGCTGCGAAGAGGTCAATGCTTCGAAATGTCTAACATCAAATGAACATTCCTTGGGTGGTGAAAGCCAATGCGTGAAGATGTCTGCCTCTGGCAAGGATTGTCAGTGGCTGACAGCTATACTGAGACCTGATGAGACCTGCCGACGTGTGGCTGGATTTCAAAGTTTCAATTTCCTTGGGCCTTGCACCAGAAGGCAACCCACCCTTCATGTTGGTTACATCACATCGGGCACCTGAAAAAAAAAACTATAGGATCCCAGCAACATCTCTCTCTCCATCGCCATCTCCAAGAGTCTAGCCAAAGGCTACATAGAAGAGGGTGTTATTTCTGGAAAGCTGGTTTGGGTTTCAAATGGATGACACTAAACCTCCTTTGACAATCTATGATCATCTGACCCATCAGCCGGTCTGCAAGGAACCATGGCTGCGGCCCAACCTGCATATTTTCCATGTAAAATGAAGAACGCTACCACAGATATATGGATTTGTAGATCATTTTCCAAAGGAAATCATAGATCTTCCACATCTAATGCCAATCTATTAGTCACAATCCCCCGTTTTTGGTGCTTTGAAATTCGCCTCTTCGGTGTCACCCTAAACCCTAACCCTTAGTCGCCTCGGCGGAATCCGACAAGTCCTTCTGCATGCTCCCGATGTCCTGAAGAGCGGGAGATGTGGCTGGCCTTAAAAACCAACCAAAGTGGCAATTAAACCAACCACAATGGTGGATACCTAAATGGGATATGCGTCGGCAACCATACGATCTTGGATATCTTGGTGTGTCGGCAAAGATATTCGATACCGATAGCCGATACCCCATTCCATGAGCTGGTCAATGTCATTATTTTGCCACTGGAAGTGCCGTTTCGGAATAAACCCCATTTTGAGACACACCAATTTCAAGGGATGTTCATCCCCCATCAGCCGATTGTCCTATCGTAGGTGACTCATGCACACATCAGTCAAATCACATATAGCACGTCCCTTCTCACATTTACTTCTATTGGAATCAATCTAAAAACGTCTCCGTGCTGTAAACCTCTCCAATGATTCAGTGGTAGTTGATGTAATTTTCCCTCTTCATGTCACAAAGCTCTAAATAATCAAGTGCTTCATTTCGTTTCAGCACACATCCGTCACGTCCGTCACGTCCGCGTCCTCGCCCAGGGAGATGATCGATGTGTTCAGACGATCGATGTCGGCATTCAACTCATCCACCATCACAGTCTTGGACCTGCACAGCAGGGTGGATAGATGGTGGATAGTAAGAGGCGCAATGAACAGTCACAAAAAAAAAAAACGGCGGACTCGTTAGCGTCGCACGATTCTGCCAAAAACATGGTTTGATCTGCACAACAGCTGAGTTTTCTGATTGAAAATGGTCTCATGAAAGATGTTGCGTTTTGCTTCAGGTTGCAACCCTTAGCACAAACTAGTAATGATAATGATAATAAATAAATAATTAATTAATAAATAAATAAATAAATGAATGAATGAATAAAAAATAAATAAATAATAATATATATATATACATGCATGATACAAGTATGTTGATGTGTATTTGTAACGCACACAGAGAGGGAGACAGAGACAGAGTTAGATAGAAACGATGATACGAAGAAAGAAAGCAAAATAGATAGATAGACAGATAGATAGAATGATAGACGGATAGATACATCAATAGATAGATATATCCTGCATTGCATCAGTTTGTAGAGTCACTTTATACTGACTGGAGAAATCATCCAGTGGCAGTTGGGAAAACCCGGGGTATTGATGCCTTTCACCCAAACTGTTGCAGGTGGCCGGGTAAGAATCATACAGGAGGATCGGAGGATCTCATGCTTTTCTGTCCAATTTAATTTTGCAGGATGGTTCCAGAAATACGACAAAATTGGCTAGCTGGCTTGGGTCGATGGTTTCGAGTCCAGGGTATATTCGGTAGCAATCATCCACCAATCACCGATGAAGAAAGCCCGCGCAAAAATGCTGCCCCGTGCATGGATGAAGTCGGATAAATCCTGGAAGATCCGAGGTTTGAAGGGCCAATAAGAATGCCATAACCCATAGGATCCATGTATGGTATATATGCTAACATGACTGGGGTATATTGATGGTAAATGTTACCATATATAGCATACATGGATCCTATGGGTAAGCTAAGGGACATCACAACTCCAGTTCCCACGACCTGCGATTCTTCTCGTTGCTCTTGAGTTCCGAGGCGCACCAGGTCTGCTTTTCGGTGTCCTGGTTGTCCTGACCCGGTGGCATTGACGCCATGATGTTCTCGGAAGTCGAACCTTTGAAATGATTGCAACATCTGGCCGTTTTATAAGTTTATATATAAAATCACTTAATATCTGATCATATCTGATCATATCTGATCATATCTGATCATATCTGATCATATCTGATCATTTGATATCATGTGGACCTAGTCGGACGTTTTAAGAGACTGTGCCTACATCTTAGGAGTCGTCTGTGCCGCATCGCAGTTCAGGCCTGTTCCTCAAGCCGTTGGATCACACCTTCAATCGTCTCCCTGGCCCAAAGGGCTTTGGCTGCCAATGTTCTGTCGCTTTGTTCCGACATGCAAACAATAGCCACTGCTAAGGGCTTGAACTCTTGTACAGGCCAAAGTTGTTTCTGAGTCAGGGAGATGGTCATGTGCGAATCATCATGAGAAGAAACTCCACGCAACGCTGCAACACTATGCATGGTGTCCATCCACCCTACATCACCCTACACTCCACAACCCCATCCCTGATGTCGTTGTCCAAATAGTCATTCCAATTGCGGTCATGACTCTGCATTCTACATGTCCATTACGTACATCGTGTGATGTCGCACCTCTAACCATTCTCTAGAGCACAGAAAAAATCTGAAAATACTTCAACTTCTGTTTGTAGCCACAACTGAAGCTGGCCTCACTTTGCCCAAAGCTGCTGTTGCCACTGGCTCCAGCAGATTGGTCAACGCCTAGGGACGGCCCCGGGTTCCCAAGAGCTGGACACGGCGCGGCATGGGCGTCCCGGACGGCGCTCTTCAAACGCTGTGCTTCGCCTTGCAAAAAGCCCAACAGCTTGGCCTGGGCGCAGCCGTTCCAAATTCCAAAGTCCTGGACACCCTGACAAGAGAGTCAGACATGCAGTTGTAGAATGCTATAGATATCTATAGATTAGATGTATGATAAGTTCTGTAGATAGGCGGGCAGGGAGGGAGGTAGGTAGGTAAGTAGGTAGGTATGTAGGTGTGTAGGGGTGTAGGGTGCACGTATGCACGTACACATGTACACATGTACGCATGTACGCATGGACGCATGCATGCATGCATGCAGGGAGGTATGTATGTATGTATGTATGTATGTATGTATGTATGTATGTCTGTATGTCTGTATGTCTGTATGTCTGTATGTCTGTATGTCTGTATGTCTGTATGTCTGTATGTATGTATGTCTGTATGTCTGTATGTCTGTATGTCTGTATGTCTGTATGTCTGTATGTCTGTATGTCTGTATGTATGTATGTCTGTATGTACGTATGTACGTATGTACGTATGTACGTACGCACGTACGTACGTGAAACATGTGCGTGTTTGTGTGTGTGTGTTTGTGTGTTTGTGTGTTTGTCTGTGCATACCTTTGCGTGCAGATAGATTGATAGATTGATGGATGGATGTACATGTGTACATAAACAGAAACACATCTTTATATCCTCCTCGATAACCCTTTGCGCGGGCTTCCCATCTGATCAACGGCCTTGAGCACATCATCATTCTTGGCACTGCGGAGCAGGGTCAGGGAAGTGGCCTGCCATCTCTGCATCATGGCTTCGGGACTGGTGGTTTTAGCCCATCCCAATGATATCTTCAAAACCGTAGACCCATATCAATATCGTCAATTTATGTCAACATGTTGCCAGGATGTTCCAGCATGTTCCATGCAGGGTTTGAACATCAAAAAATGAACCACCAAGCCAGAAAATAAGATCTCTATAGACTATAGATCTCTCAGATCTACGAGTTGCCTCATGAAAGTCACCCACTTAAATACAACCTTAAAATGGCACATGAAATCTCCTCAAAAGTTGATGCACCATGACACCTCCCATTCGGCCACTGCGCGACTGCGCCACTGCGCCTTCCTCAGCTGCAAAAGGCTCTGGAAGTTTACCTCCAACAGGGAGAGCTTCTGCGACACGATCTGAACCGCCTTGGAGATGGCCTGCGGTGCAACGAACCACTCAGTATGGAAAGGAAAGGACTACAACATTGGACATCATTGACATATGAATGACATATATATAATATATAATATAATATATATATAACGGTATAGATATATGTGTGTATATCTCTGTGCGTGTATTATAGACGTTGATGTAATTGTATGGCTTCTACAAATCTATTACGTCTACTGTGGTATATTACAGTATATATATGAACATATCATGACATAAAATAACATATCTCACTAAAAGCCAACCACTTTGAGATGTGGTTTGAAGAGACCCTTCGTGCGCCTCCAACTCGTCCGTGCGAAGCTTCTGATTGGACTCGTAGTCTGCCGCCTGAGGCTGTCTCAGATCAAATTTGCAGATTTGGAGGTGGGAAAAATGGAAAACTTGATCTGAGATGATCTGAGGAGAACCAAATCTCTGTCGTAAAATAGGATCAACTATCAAAACATGATCAAACTAGACAGTTCATGATCGAAAAACATGTCGGTACACTCAACTAACGCGGCTCGGCCCAAGCCTTCTGCCGACATGTGGCGGTCACATCCTGGGTTCAGCTTCATCCCTACATGAGACATAAGCGGCCCATTACACTCATAGGAGATAATAGGCACTGATGGGGGGTGAAAGGAGTTGTGATCCTAATTCCATATCCTCATTATTCCTCATTTATATAATTGATATCACCGGTAACCCCAATCAACACCTAGTTCGTCCCGGTCATGGGTGGTTGGGACCTCATTTGCAGTATACCTGGTGGCCAAATATTGAGTGAGGGCCATACATCCACTGAGCTCCCTACATCCAAGTACTTGGTGTCCGCGTCCTTGAGCATTCGGCACGATTCAGGAATCTTGTCCAAGAGAATTCAGGCCATTCAGTCATGTAAAGTGAAAGGTAAAGATATCTAAAACACACGGGAAGAGAAAGGGAAAGAATAAGAGAGAAAGAAAGAAAGGGAGAAAAGTTCAGATTCTTTAAAAATCTACCCAACAATACCCAACAGGTAGTAAGTGGCTGCACGGGATCCCACACCTTGGAGCTGCTGGTTGTGGTGAGTTCGTCCTTGGGCTGCTGGTGGTAATTCAATTGTGGTGATGATGGTGATGGAATAGCATGACATTGGATAACACGGAATAACCATCAATCTGTGCTGATGAAACTCTGATACCATATATGGTTATATGATATAAACATATATACATATATAATTTATACATATATATATATACATATATATATATACATATATATATGTGTGTGTGTGTAGATATAGATACGTATAGAGAGAGAGAGAGATGTATATATATATGTAAATATATAGGCATGTAGATGTAAAAATATATTGTTTGTAGATGTATAGGTATAAATATATATAGACATATAGATATATAGATATATCATATACAGATATATAGATATTATTATTATTATATAATGGTATGTAATGTTGTGTAATGTTCTGTCATGTTATGTAATATTATGTAGTGTAATGGTATGCAATTGCATGTAATGTTGTGTAGCGTATATAATTGTAATGTTACGTAATGTTACGTAATGTTACGTAATTAATGTTGGGTAAGGTAATGTTATGTTACGTTATAATGTACTGTTATGTAATTGTGTATGTACGCATGTACGTACGTACGTATGTACCGGAATGATAATATGATGATGGAAAGATGGTGGCGACTTCTGTTGCCTTTTTCCAGTTAAAAACTTCCAGAACCCAGGGGCCTTTCAGTTCAAACATCCAAATCGCAGCACTTTGGCGCCTCTTTGGATGCTTTGAGTTGCATTTTTTTGGCCTTGAGCCCCACTTTCCGCTCTTTATCCTGGCCAGCGGCACCACATCCACTTATAAGTACTACTTACATTGTGACATGGCACCAGTAAACAATGAAGCAACAATAATTAGCTGGTCTCTAACCCTGAGAGAAAAAACAACTCATGAAAGCTTGTCAATGAAAAACACCCCAAATATCATGTTAATCTGGTTCTGCACTCACTCGGCCCTTTTCACTTGGTTCCACAGGGCTTTGGTGCATAAAGTAGCCGCGTTCTACGCGGAAGTTCGGCTGGCCAACCAAAAACATGATCAGCTGTCACAACAGCAGATGGAGGAGGGCAAAACGGGGGCACTTGTGCATCACCCATGAACATTCCAGTCACTGTTAATCTGGTTCTGCACTCACTCGGCCCTTTTCACTTGGTTCCACAGGGCTTTGGTGCATAAAGTAGCCGCGTTCTACGCGGAAGTTCGGCTGGCCAACCAAAAACATGATCAGCTGTCACAACAGCAGATCCACGTTTTACCCGGGCCTACAGCAAAGCATTAAGTTGAAAACTTAGGTGCACGGCTGTGCGCTGCGGGGCCTCGTTGGGCTAAAAACAACGGCAACAAGTCCCTAAGTAACTGCACACGTTGTCTGACAGAAGGTTGCAAAGCTGGAAGAATTGACATGGCTGTCGTTTCTTGCAAATGAAAAGAAAGCGTTTTGACGTTTTGCAGTCTCATCCTCCAAAGTAAATCTGCTATGGGCATGCCTCGTCGGTGGCAAGACACCGCTCCCCCTCCTCTAAGGGAACCCGGGGTGAGTCGATGCTGAGGGCCCACTCCTATCTTTGTCAAAGTCGCATCCCAACGGCGCCTAAAAGCAGAAGGCGAACCACCATAGAGCAAATCATTGGGCTGCAGTTCCTGCCAAACTGAAACCAGAAAACGAACTACAGAAGGCTCGCTAATAGTGGCATACTGCGTGGAAGCTCCACGGCGCCTGGTCTTGGGAAGTAAAATGCGAACATAAATGACATCGTCTTCACAAAGGAGATCATGCGGCGTCAAAATGTCTTTCCTTCGAGCAGATAGAAACTCTCCTATTCTGCAGATTGCATAAAAACACCCCAAGAGCGCAGCTGCCCAGCGGTCCCACTTCCAAGCAATGCCCAAAGTAGTCATAGCTTGTAACAAAGGCTCAGGCAGTGGCGGTCTATGTTGTACCGGTTCAAGCAGCTCCCATTTGGTCACGAGCTGCCAGGCAATGGCCATAAATGGTCGCAGTTGCAAGTGAATCTTCTGAAAATGCGCTAAAAGCTGCCTATAGTAGTGCAAGGGCACGCTAGCTGCAAAACAGTGATGGCCAAAAGCGACCAGGGCTGAGACTGCAAGCCCGGGCACTCGAGCTGACCATTCCACGAAGCAGGCTCCGCCACAATTGGAGTCAAACCAGTCGAAAAACTGAGTCAGCATGCGGTGCCGAACCGCAATAGTGGCGGGTTCAAGCAGCTCCGCCCGCGCCAAATCTTCCGGGGCTCGATCTGGAACGCCACGGCGAGGTCCCGGATTGGAAGCTTCGCCAATCCGAGCATGTGTGACCTTTGCACATGCAGCTACATCAACTTTCCCGCATTTGCCAAGGAAACCTGCATCGCGCAGCAAACCAGAAGCCAGAGCAAAACACACTTGTCTTGGATACGGCTCAGCCAACTTAGTGAAGTTGACACCAGTATGCTTGCACTTTCCCCGCAACTGTATGTGCGGCTTATTGCACCGGCAAAACACTCTTTGCCCTTTCAGGTGTGAGTTCGTACGGAACCGAGTCCGCTTCCTCCAGCGGGTCCCGAAGCGGCAGTAGTCAAGGCGAAGATCGCCTATTTTTCCCGTACCCAAAACAGGATCCCAAGCTAAACTTCCTCTCTGGCGCCACATCCATGAACCATCTGGGTTTTCTACAAAGAAAATTACACCAAACGCCAAGCAGATCGGAATCAGGCTAAGCACAAAGCGCAGCATCTCGTTTCCCAGCTCGTTCTTCACTTTCTGCTTCTCTGAACACCAAGGCACACCATCCGGGTGCTGCTTCGAGCGACACGGAGGCGTGATAGCAGTGCTAAATGAGCAGCAAACGGGCGCCGCTCCCATGGCTCGGAAGGCTTTAAGTCTGAGTAACTTAGTGATCTTACTTTGGAGGGGACCCTGCAGCAAGTCCTCATTGACGTTGTGGGCAATGTCAAAGGTGAGGACCCAAGTCTCTGCCATCTTCGCGCAAGCGCGAGCAAAACCTCTAGACCCTGAAAACAAATCTAGCACTCCTGCGCCACTTTGCAGAGCGTCCTCAAGCGACGCAAACTTCTGGTGCCAAATAAACTGATCTTCAGGAAAACTACGAAGAAGCGCAAGAGCCTCCTCACTCAAACTGCAGGCCTGCCGCTCTTCCACCTCATGCTGAACTGCTTCGGCTGCCTTCGCCTTTACCTCAGCTGCATGCTTGCGCCGGTCTTTTCTCCTCTGCTTTCGGGCCTCTAGGCCCGTCCTCTTGTCGACCGGCGCAGGCGCAAGCAGTTCGGATTCATCAGGCAGCTGGCGAAGAGCGGAGATGGTCAGATCCCATTCTGCTAATGCAGCCTCAAGCTTTTCGTACTCGCCCGCTTTCAGGTCAGTCAGCCACTCGGCTTCAGTCCTGACGGGTGCGCGGATGACAACGTCTCTGGTGGGGTCATCAGCAGGATTCAAACGAGATCTGACATATCCATAAAAAGCTCTATTGTTGTAAGCTATTGCATCTGGAATGGATTGCCTGATCAAGGCATTGACAGATCGAGAGGAAGACCTGCCCTTTGTGAGAGCAGCAAGAGAGACTTGAGAGTCTTGCAAATGTAAATAAAAACTGTCTGGCTGTTTCTTGCCCTGTTCTACCTCAGCTTGCAATGCCGCTGAAATCTCTCCCAGGTTGATGTGTCTTCGTTTGCGCACCTTTTTCACTGCACCAAAAAGCGCAAACTCCTGAGTCTCAACAATTTCCTGCCAAAGGGGATGCATGTCATACTCTCCTTCCGGCAACTCGCAAGCTTCTAGGTCCTCGATCCCTTTTTCTCTCAAGTAGGCCTGAGCAGGACTAACCAGCCTATTCCACAGCCCTTTTTGGAGCGCATGACGTTGCAGTTCCTCTGTGGCTTTCTGCCCTATCTTTGTGGCCACAGCTCCTTCTGCCGTAGAAGATGCATCTGAAGCAACTAAATAGTCAGAGGGGCGAAGCCGCATATCTAGGTGAGTGAGAGAAACGAGGGCCAGCGAGCAACACAGCTCATCTTGCAGTTCTGGTGACAAACGAACAATTTCGTTTCTCTGCCGATTCTTCTGTGCCTCATAAATCTCCTGCAACACGCTCATGAAACGCCTCCGCAAAGAGAAAATTGAAACCAAGGAACCAGCTATCACTTCTAGAAGAGCGACAGTGCAGCAGCCTAGATTCAAGACTCGCAGAATGATGTGACTCAAGGGAATACTGCGCTTCAAATTTGGGCGCAAATCACCAGCAACACCATCCATCTGTACTCCCCAAAAACTGCCTTTCGTCTCATTGAAAACAGCCTTGCCAGAGTGTCTCGGAAGTCTCACTTTCTCATACTGCTCGCGCACTTGGCGGATTCGCTGGCTGCAGTCTAGCTCAGCCTGCGCCGCCCCAGCTTCTGTCTCCTCAGTCGCCTGGTCAGGCCTGGCTTCTAGAAGGACTAAATCATCGATCATGAGCCCAGCCAGCCACCTTTGTCTTGGTGGTCTACCCAGCAACGTAATGAAATGGTCCAACTCTAAAGCACCACTTTGAAGGAGAACCCCCAGATGCGAGGCTTGGCCAAATGCAACGGCATTGGTGTCGCCCATCGCCATGGTCTTGAGACAAGGAGTGACACTCTTCTCTCGCAGCAATCTGTGTGAAAAACACAAAAACACTCTAATGCTTTCAGCTCCCATGGTCTGAAGCTCATCTTTAAGGCATTTCGAAGGATCCTCTCTTCGGAAATCACAAAGGCATGGTAAAACTCACGCAAGTCTTCAGCAAACAAGTACAAACACTCGTCCTCCTGCAAAAAGAAATGCTGCAATTGGTGAAGACCAGCAAGAGATTTGATCCAACGCTGCTCTGACTGCTCCAGTGCATTTGGGGGCCGTGCATCTAAAACCATAAGATCCCGCTGCTCATCTTTGGGAATGGCAAAAACACCATTCTGAAACCCTTCCCGGATAGTCCGGGTAGGCCTGAGGGCTAAACGCTTGCAGCTGTCTAACTTCCGTAAGAAGGCTAACCTCTGAGTTGGCGGGCACCTTACCCTGACTCTTGGAGGACGCTCTGGCAGCTCAGCAGGGTCGATGGCATGCTGCAAGGGGAACTCAAACATTGAGACGTTGGCCGGATCCATAAAGGGTCGCGGATCAAAAGAAGGTTCCCCCCAAAACTGCAGCCGATCAGGTTCAAGAGCTTTTGCAGGATGAGCTGGTGCAACATCTAGTTTACCAACAACGCTTCCCGGTGCCCCCTTCATGCCCCAATCAGTCCTCAGTCTCTCCTCTGCTTTACTGCCATAGCTCTTGAGCCCAGAGTGCACGAGCTCAGCTTCTGCCTGCAGCTGGTTCAGCACATCCTCAAGGCTTTCAACTTTTGTCGCGGATCTGCCCATTTCCGCGCTAGTCACAACTGCTTCTGCATTCCAAACATCTACCTGTCTCCTCAGCCTCTGCACTAAATCCCACTGGGAACCATTCAGCGGTGTGCCAAGCGGAGGAATCACTGACTTCCAGTGACGTTCGGAGCCATGCAAGTAGTTGAGCACGATGACACAGTAGTTCAAGCCAAGCTTTCTACTGGCATCCTTCTGGCCACGGTTTGCTCCTTTTCTATGGAGCTCAGGAAAGGGGACCGGCAAAGGCCACAGTGCCCCAGGTGGTGCCCGAGTCTGAGCACGGGATGCCCTGGCGTGGAACCAAGCAAGTTTTAGGCGCGATCTCCCTCGAGAAAGCGCGGTAAAAAGGCCATTCCATAGTTCATAGCCCAAAACGCTGGTAGCGCCTGCTCCGGGCACTTTTCGGCCGCCAGCATCGGCCGTCATAGTGGCGTCCTTCACGGATGGCTTGAGTCCGCCTCCGGCGGACCCTTCTCCTTCTTGCCCTCTTTGCCCTTCTGATTGCCTTTCTTCTGCTTGTCTTTGTCCTTGTCGCGTTCTGTCTTGGGCGGGGCTCCTCCTCCCGCATCGGTCTTGCCTTTTCCTCCAGTCTGATTCAGGCGCTTTCTGGATTCCAGATAGCTGTCCTTGCTCTTCAGCCTCCACATGAAGACTTCCAACCAGCGTTCGTCCAGAAGCTTCGACCCGCTCTGCTCCCAAGGTTCCGGGCTCCTGCGGCCCTGAAAAGACTGAAGAGGAGCAGGCTGCTCCAACAGGACCTCTTGGCTGAGAAGCCAGCTGCCTTGATCGATGGAAGACTGATCGCACGCCGCCACAGCCAGCGCGCAGCGGGCTCTGGCTTCTTTGACGGCCCCACTGCGGAGCGCGTCCCAAATGCCCGTCAGCGCCCAAGCATAGCGAATGGTGGTCGGGTAATACCCGAGCCGCGGGCGATGCTCCAACCAGGCTCTGGCTGATGTCTGCTGCATCGTGGCTCCTGGAGCCGCTCGCATCAGGTTGAAGTCCTTCTCCAACTGAGCTTCGATGGTCTGGTAGATCACTGCTGGATTCTCGGTCAAACTGCTCTGCAGCTTTTTGTAAACTGCAGCTTTGCCTTTGCCTGACCCAGAGCTCGAAGCCTCTCCTACCTCTGGATCTAAGCCGTCGAGCATGGCATCGAGGTCTCGCGGCCTCTTGTCTTTTGCCAAAGTACCGACGATCTCCGTCAGCTTTAGCAGTGCCTGCTCTACGGGATCTCCCGTGCCAGCCTTCTCGTCTGGTAGGGCGTCCTCCTCCACTCCAAAACCGT